ATTACATTTCAGCACTCTTTTCTGTTTTTAACAAATTTAGCTGTTTAAACTTTGTTTAGCATTAGAAAAAGTCAGTTTGGTATTCAAATGAGCCTTCAGATTTCCACATCACATTTGCCTTAAACCTTCATGATATTCTCAGCGTCCTTCTGTAGAGCCACATCTTTGTTGTGATTTAAAAAGGCTTCACTTGCAAGGAAAGTGCCCTGCATTCATTGCCAAAAACAAGATTTTTTTTTAAATCATATCACCCCAATCAAGTTTGATAACACCACAAAGATACAAGGGGTTATTGCAAATGAAAGAAAATGAGAAGACTTTAGGAGAAGGGACTGGAAACCCAATCCTAAACAGGAAACAAGTGATAAACCCCTACTCTCATGGGAGTAGAAGAGACTGCTACATTTAACAGTTTCGACAGTGAAAGGAGAAAATTTTCATTTGGAGAGGGGGCGGAAAAAAAATAAATAAAAAATGAGCATTACTTACCTTCTTTCAATCACTCTCCATAACTGGCGCCAAAACTCCAAATTCTTTTCATAAGGAGTTAATATTAATTGTTCCTCTTCTTGTAAACTGTGGAAGAAGATAAAAAAAAGTTAAAAAAAAAATATTAACCCCTTGAGCTCTGACCACCACTTTACCGGTGATAGAGAAAAATGACGTAATGCCCAGCCACTGGTTGAACAGTGGTAGAGAAAAAATGACGTAATGCCAGCCACCGTTGAACAGTGGTAGAGAAAAATGACGTAATGCCCAGCCACGGTTGAACAGTGGTTAGAAAAAATGACGTAATGCCCAGCCACGGTTGAACAGTGGTAGAAAAAATGACGTAATGCCCAGCCACCGGTTGAACAGTGGTAGAGTTAGAAAAAATGAACAGTTGAACAGTGGTAGAGAAAAATGACGTAATGCCCAGCCACCGGTTGAACAGTGGTTGAGAAAAATAGCGGAATGAGCCAAAACAGTGGTAGATGACGTAATGCCCAGCCACCGTTGAACAGTGGTAGAGAAAAATGACGTAATGCCCAGCCACCGGTTGAACAGTGGTTGAACAGTGGTGGTAGAGAAAAATGACGTAATGCCCAGCCACCGGTTGAACAGTGGTAGAGAAAAATGACGTAATGCCCAGCCACCGGTTGAACAGTGGTAGAGAAAAAATGGCGTAATGCCCAAAACGGTTGAATGCCCAATGCCACGGTTGAACAGTTGAAAAATGAGTAATGCCCAGCCAAACATGGTTACGTAATGCCCAGCCACCAGTTGAACAGTGGAACAGTGGTAGAAAAAATGACGTAATGCCCAGCCACCAGTTGAACAGTGGTAGAGAGACATAATGCCAAGCCACCGGTTGAACAGTGGTAGAGAAAAATGACGGTAATGCCCAGCCACCGGTTGAACAGTGGTAGAGAAAATGACATAATGCCCAACCCACAGTGGTAGAGAAAAATGACCACCACACCGTTGAACAGTGGTAGAGAAAAATGACATAATGCCAAGCCACCGGTTGAACAGTGGTAGAGAAAAATGACATAATGCCCAGCCACCACGGTTGAACAGTGGTTGAGAAAAATGACATAATGCCCAGTGGTTGAACAGTGGTAAAAAATGACGTAATGCCCAGCCACCCGTTGAACAGTGGTAGAGAAAAATGACGTAATGCCCAGCCACCGGTTGAACAGTGGTAGAGAAAATGACGTAATGCCCAGCCACTGGTTGAACAGTGGTTGAACCAGTTGGTGGTAGAAAAATGACATAATGCCCAGCCACCGGTTGAACAGTGGTAGAGAAAAATGACATAATGCCCAGCCACTGGTTGAACAGTGGTAGAGAAAATGACATAATGCCCAGCCACTGGTTGAACAGTGGTAGAGAAAAATGACGAATGCCCAGCCACTGGTTGAACAATGTGGTTGAACAGAAAAAATGACGAATGCCCAGCCACCGGTTGAACAGTGGTAGAGAAAAATGACATAATGCCCAGCCACCGGTTGAACAGTGGTAGAGAAAAAAATGACGTAATGCCCAGCCACAGGTTGAACAGTGGAGAGAAAAATGACGTAATGCCCAGCCACCGGTTGAACAGTGGAAGAGAAAAATGACGTAATGCCCCACGGTTGAACACCGCCACTGGTTGAACAGTGGAAGAGAAAATGCCCAGCCACGGTGACGAACCAGTGCCCCCATCCACGGTTGAACAGTGGAAGAGAAAAATGCCAAGCCACTGGTTGAACAGTGGTAATGCCCAGCCACGGTTGAACAGTGGAAGAGAAAATGACGAATGCCCAGAACACGGTAGTTGAACCAGTGGAACAGAAAAAAAAACGAATGCCAAGCCACCGTTGAACAGTGAGAAGAAAATGACGTTGAACAGCGCCCATAATGCCACCGGTTGAACAGTGGAAGAGAAAAATGACGTAATGCCCAGCCACTGGTTGAACAGTGGAAGAGAAAATGACATAATGCCCAGCCACCAAGCCACGGGTTGAACAGTGGAAGAAAAAAATGACAATGCCAAGCCACGGTTGAACAGTGGTAGAGAAAAATGACATAATGCCAAGCCACGGTTGAACAGTGGTTGAGAAAAATGACATAATGCCCAGTCACTGGTTGAACAGTGGAACAAAAAATAATGCCCAGCCACGGTTGAACAGTGGTTGAAAAAAATGACGTAATGCCCAGTCACTGGTTGAACAGTTGGAGGGAAAAAATGGTAATGAGGAAACAGTGGAAGAGAAAAATGCCCAGTCACCAACAGTGGAAGAGGAAAATGAACAGTTGAACAGTGATAGAGAAAAATGACGTAATGCCCAGTCACCGGTTGAAGAGTGGTAAACAAAAATGACATAATGCCCAGCTACCAGTTAAACGGTGGGTAAACACTTGTAACTATTTTTATATCTACCACGAAGCATTACATACCAATTATTTGTAAATTTTGACTCAGGAACCCAGGCAGAAGGCTTAAAATTGTTTTGGAATGCTCGGATCAAAGAGTTAATTTAAAAACATAAACCAAAGTAAACAGGTAATAAAATCTCCAGAATAAACTGTCCTCAATTGAGCTCTGAAAAACATGAAGCAATAACTGGTTGACATTTTTTTGGTTGTTACAGTCGTTTCTTTTTTGGATATATTTTTCAATTCCCTATTTTATGGTGTTAATATTTTTTCCCCTTAACCTTGCTCTTCTTATTTGTTTTAATATATTTGAATATATTATGCAAATACTGTATATACTCGGGTAACAGACAATCTTGTATATCATGTGACTAACCCCTCCCACCAATTTTCACTTACAAAAAATGATTTTATCATCTATCTCATATAACATGCGAGTTCCTTTTTTGAGAGACCTAATTACAATAGACTGACCTCTTTTCCTCTATCTCTTTTCCCATCTTCTAGTTAAATAAGTTCAAAAAGTAAAAGAGAATGATAAAAGTATCGTTAGTAACGCTATACTAGTTGCGTAAACACGTACAGCCATAAACAACCAAACAAGAAACAGCTAAACATCTTATAAACATAAAAAATGGAAAAGATGCATATTCGACATGTTTGTATTTTATAATACGATACTAATATGTGAATATTACATGCATTATTATTGGATACAGTTAAGTAAAACATCAGTTTTATCAAAACCATGTTTATTTTAAATACAGCTATACATTTTGACTACAGTAAATGGATATATAGTTTGGTCAACGGCATAGCCAGAGCCAGCAGTGCATACACTAATCTTATATCTCATGTATGATGTGACCTCCTTAAAATTAGCTTCAAAATTAGGTCATCAAAAGTCACAGGATACACAAGTATATACGGTAAATACTTTTTATAAAAATCACCTTTTTCAAACCATAATAAATCAATTTCTCCATGGCATGATTTTGTTCCAGGAATTCAAAAATTCCCCACTTATTGCATAAGTTGAAAAATGCACATCACTTGACTATTCCAGACGACACTTGTATTTGGTACAAAATGAGTATTCCTGTGAGACACTTGTTACTGCTCCTCAAAAATGACCAAAGGTTGTTGCCACCTCTGAGATAATACTATCTCCCAGGCACCAACAAGGATTCCAGTCAAATAGTGTCAAATCTTGTCTGCCACAGCTACACTACCTACTTACATATTATGCCATTCAGCTGATTCCATTTTTGCAAGTATTTAACTTTCAAATACACATCAAAATATTTAAACAGATGAATTGCTTTGAATCGAGGAAGTAATTAAAAGGAGGATTTTGTTTATGGGCACAAGATTAACAAAAAAGACAAAAAAAAGAAAATACTTACTATGCCAAAGTTTTACGCCACTGAAGGAAACTTTCTCGTTCCCGGGCTAAAAGTTCATCTGCAGAAGTTGAAGAATCCCATTTTGGCCTGTAGATAAAACAAATATTTCAAGAATGACAATAAAATTGAAAGTATTTTATTTAAGACCACAAAGAGAATGAAGAGAATGAAGAAGAGACAACAGAGGAGGAGGAAGAAGAGACAACAGAGGAGGAGGAAGAAGAGACAACAGAGGAGGAGGAAGAAGAGACAACAGAGGAGGAGGAAGAAGAGACAACAGAGGAGGAGGAAGAAGAGACAACAGAGGAGGAGGAAGAAGAGACAACAGAGGAGGAGGAAGAAGAGACAACAGAGGAGGAGGAAGAAGAGACAACAGAGGAGGAGGAAGAAGAGACAACAGAGGAGGAGGAAGAAGAGACAACAGAGGAGGAGGAAGAAGAGGAGGAGGGAAGAAGAGACAACAGAGGAGGAGGAAGAAGAGACAACAGAGGAGGAGGAAGAAGAGACAACAGAGGAAGAAGAGACAACAGAGGAGGAGGAAGAAGAGACAACAGAGGAGGAGGAAGAAGAGACAACAGAGGAGGAGGAAGAAGAGACAATAGAGAAAGAGGGAAGGAAGAAATGTGGTATGTGATTAGGATTAAGAAGAAGAAAAAAATTAAATCAAAAAGAGGAGATTAACAAGGTTAAAGTTTAGATGCTGAGGAAGATTGAGGAGGTTAAAAGGATCGGGGGGGAATATAAATGGAGTGGGTGCCATTGATTACCATAAACAATAATTGAGATAAATAAAATGGTTCTCCACCTTCGAGGGATTCGAAGTAATGTTTTGTTTCTTTCCTGTGCCTCTTTCAATCGTTTTAATTCCTGCTCATTGGGCAGACCAGAATCTTTGTTGCGGTCAATAAATTTGACATTCAACTTTTCTAAAATGAAACAAAGACAAAAAGAAAAAATTCTATGAGAAAAAAAGGGAAACTTTTTTGATCTGCTTGAATTCAAAATCATTTTCATATCAGAATAGATACAAAATCTAATAAATTTTGTCAATAAAAAAAAACAAAAAAAAACAAACACACACACATAACTCTTTCCAAAATGTTATGATCATAACAGACAGACAGAATATATGCAATATACTTATATTATATAGAACATATGCAATATACATTTTCTTTATCACTGTTCCGAGTCAAATTCCCTGCAAGCTTTTCAATTAGGAAAATACAGTAAAAATTAAAAAGACAAACCTTGTCAGTTGAAGTTAACCAAACTTGTTTAAATATATTATATATATATATATATATATATGATAAAAATATTTTTTAAAATATTTTTAATTTTAAAAAGTTTTTTTAAATATTTTTTCTTAATATAAACGATCTAAAAGTGATTTATTTTTAATCTTATATTTTATTTGTAAGCATATTTTAGTTTGCATGGTAACAATTTTTTGTTATATAATTAATAATTTTGTTTTAAAACTTCTAGAATTTCACTTCATTTTTCTTATAACCCTAAGTGAGGGCATTATGGTTAATATCTGGGTTGAGTTTGTGTAACTTCTTTCCATTTAAGCCAAACATCCACCCTCCCCTTACCACCACTCAGGCAGTTTGTGTTGTCTGTTTGCTTAACTTAGTATCAATTTTTCAACTGCTATATCTTTTTTAAATATTTAGTTTTAAATTTCTAGTTCTGATACTAAACACAATCCACCATTTGAGTTGAATAAAACTAACGCATTGACGTTAGTTGAAACAGTCTATGGTCACAAGGTAATTCTAGAATTCTCCATTATGTAATTTATATGCTCTGTTATAATACATTGAGTTCTTTTTGTGGATCATTTTTAATATTTTATATTATTAGGATCCACTTGGATTATATACCAATGGATTTATTACCTGTACTATATGCTCCCGGGAAATCCGGTTGAGCTCTCGAGAGAAAGGGGGTTTTAAAAACAGCAGCTCCTACTGTTATTAATGCATTACTCTTTAAGTACAAATTGAGTTCTCTGGGCCACTGGCGTATTAGAAAAAAACGTTTCAATTTCCCTTCCTATCTGCTGAGTGATGATAGCCTAGGGATAGGATCTCTGACTGATGTCAAATCGGTCGGGTTTCAATCCGAACTTGAAGCAATCAGATGACTAGCCACACTGAAGAGCTATGATACAGCAAAACAGTTTCTCTGTGGATGACATTATATATATATATATATATATATATATATATATATATATATATATATATATATATATATGTGTGTGTAAATATATAGTTAGTGGCATTAGTGCCTTGTTTGGGGTCAATTGATTTTTTTTTTAAAAATCAATAAATAAAAAAATATGCAGAAAAAAATGAAAAATAAAGATAAAAAAATAAATAAGTAATAGAATGAATGAAATTCTTACCAGCAGTAAATTCCGTTCCTGCCATTTCTGCAGTTGCCAAGAAATCTTCCAAATTACTCTGCTCTGTGACAGACATAAGATTAAGTCGACCCCAGTTATAACCATCTTCCAACTCACTAGTGTGCAACTGAAAAAAAAAAAAACAAAGAAATTTCAACATAAAGAATTAAAAAGAATTCTTTGAAAATTCAATGAAGTCCTTCCCCACCAAAATCAAAAAAGAATTTTACAATCATTAACATAAATGCTATTCTTTGACAAAGCCCACACCATAGGTGGGTGCTCTCCGGGAATGACCAAAAACATCAAATAAACCAATCTTTAGTTTCGGTTGAAGTGTGCATAAAAAAAAATCATGATTTAACATTCTGTTGTAAAATAATGCAATGGTATGTTGAGGGGAAACGCTAAATCGATTGTTCTCCTAAGAATTACAGGGTAAGAGGCAGAGAAGAAAAAGAGATGGTAAGAAACAAAATGACACTGCCTCAGAAAACACAGCACGGCAGGCACCATGCTACTTTTGAAACAAAATGCTGCAAAGGAGTCTTCACAAGACACAGAGTCTCATGCTCTGGATTTGAAATACATGGCTTGTCAACCTCTCTGCCTGCGGAACCCAGACAAGGCTATACTGAAGAGCAGTCTTTCATCTGGGGTGGTAAACAGCTACCCGACCCTGTGTATATGGGGTCTACAGGGAATTTTTGCCCAAGACTATGGGCTTGGAAAGGCCCACATTAAACTAGCCTTGTGTGGAGCTCAGGTAAACACCGAGTCTTGAGCACTGCCCACTGCTAGTTTTCTCATCATTCTTATTGACATGAGACAGTTAACAAAGACCCAGATCTGGACAAATTGCAGAGAAGCCTGTATATGGACATGTCATCAAACTGTTCTGCTGCTTCTGTGGGGGGGGGGTCTAAATGTGACTAGTTTTTACAGACAAGATTCTGAGCCTCTTTTTTGTCTGTACCGAGACACATTCAATACTTTTCAACAAATTGCAATCACTCACAAAGATCTTATTTCTGAGCCACCTGGAATAGATAAATTGTAGTGGGAAAAAAAAAAAGAAAAGAGAAATGAAATATAAAAATTTTAATCCGACATTATTAGATTAAATACTTTTCTTTATTTACATTATTTCCAATGGTGTTCCTTGTCTATGATCTCAACCTGATCCCACAGAGGGCGGTGATCTCTCGTCTCTCTCCATATGTGGTCAGCCACATCTGATTTTTCCACTTCCCCTCGTAAACTTAAGGAATCAGCACATATGCTAGGCCACAAAAATCTCCTGAGCTGACCAAGCATAGAAATGAATACAATATGGGAACCAGTAATAAGGAATACCAGAGAAAAGCAATAATAACAACAAAAGTTGCAATATGAGCTCTGGTAAAACATGCAATGATAACAGCAAAAATTGCAATATGAGCACTGGTAAAAATGGTTGCCGAGACATTAGGTTTATAATACGCAGAAATTCATACAAGGACACAGTGGCACAGTGGATAAAGGCGTTGGTTAGTTCCAGTGACAGGATGGGAGTTCACTACCCGGTTAAGGCAGTGGAAGACTTTCAGAGGGAAATTAACAGGAAATAACTGATAACTGACATCCATTAGACATGGCACGTGGAACTAGAACAGTCTACCCCAGTGAGTGAAATAAAGGCTTCAATTCAACATTCCAACCACCTGAAGAAGGCCAGAGCATACAATGGCTGAAACGTTATGATAAATATGGCGACAAAGATAAGGGCAATAGTCCCAATAATGTAAATAATGTACATAATACCTCATCTCAGAAAAAAGACAGATACTGAAGAGCTGGAACGTTGTAATAAATATGGCAACAAAGATGAGGACAATAGTCCGAATAATGTACATAATACCTCATCTCAGAAATATAGACAGATACTAAATACTTTTCATTGACAAAAGGAGGCAATACAAATTGTCAGTAAGCAGGCAGAAGAAAAAGCTGGAAGCAAGGTGCTTTTGCCTTTTTTTATGTTCTGTTGCATTGAGACAATTTTTTTTTTTTTTTTTTTGACAGCTCAGGAAACAGATTAGAAGCAAGTGAAAGTAGAGGAGAAAGTTACAACTAGTCAGATAATTAGTACAAGTACTGAGCAAAGGTACATTACTTCCCTGTTCCAGACAAGGACAAAAGTGCCAAGGGCGAGTTTGATTCTTGAATTCAAACTCTATAAGTGCAGAGCAAGGATCAAAAAGAATCCACCACCCACCAGTCATTCTGGAGGCAACAGAACATTAGTTTGAGACAAATGGTCAAGTTCTTTGGGAGTGATACAGAATTTTTAATTAAAACTCTACTATACAGGGTATGTATAAAGCCTGTGTACAATTTAAAATACTTATAGATTTGTAATTACATATGATAGAAACAATCTGTAAAGAGGATAAGAAAGCCTGATATGTCTAGCTTTTTTCTTATCTTCGGAAAATTTATTATTTCTTTTACCTACTATATTTTCAATTTCTTGAAATTTCAAAATGGCTTCTTTTTTTTTCAAAATTACTGTTTGTCTCCTTTGGATTTCTTTTAACAGAGAAATAAGAAAAGTAATGTTTATTCAACTAAACCTCTATCTTTAGAGAATTGCAAGCTAAGATAATTGGTGTGATTGAAAGTAATACTGAAAATCAGTTGGAAAATGTTTTCTGAAAACTACAGAATTGTATTACCCTTTTATATGCATAATCATGGTGGACATGTTGAAAAGTAACAATCCCAAAAATTGTTATAAAGTTCATAAAAATGCTCAAACTTCTGGCTAATAATACTGTAAGGAAACACTGGAATGTAAGGTTGAGTGAAGAACAGGCTTAATCACAAGAGCCATGGATTAATAATACACTAATAGAGAATACCGTAGTTCCGAGCAGCAATGTGTACAACTCAAACACTACAGCTTGTGATCCACTTTGCAACGACCATTCCTATAAGCAGACATTCTACTCAGTGGATGGACGAGTCCATGTTCAACAATTAGTGTAAGGAAAGTCAGTTGTCTTTCTACAGAACAATAAATTCTTTCTTACCTTCTTTACAGTTTATTCCTATTTTTAGCATTCTGCTACCACTTTCTTTCGATGTTAATTTTTGTACAAACTAAACACCAAAAAGCATCACAGAGCCTTGATATTTCTCTGACTCCTGATTGGTCAATTAATGCCAATGTTTTCCACTACATCCTTGTGGTTGACCTTGAGTTAACCTGTTCAAACTTAATTTTCTGCTCAAATCTGTTTGTCTTTCAAGCCTATCATGTGGTACACATTAATTATAAATACTTAGGAATATCTTCAACTCTTTCTCTTTCCTGTCTTCTCAGACCCACAGCAATGTAGTTCTGCGGAAAGGTCACGTTTGTCCCATAATTGCACACATGTACATACAAACATTGCACATGCCTTAACTCATCTCATTCACTCCTTCAACTACAAGAAACAGAAACTTATCAACTTCAAAAAGTGAGATTTTCTTCAGCAACAAACAGGCAGTCCAAGAAAACACAACTTTTTGATATTCAAGTGAAGAGTATATTTTCTCTCAGTCAACAAGTTTCTTTGAACTCATCTTATACCTAATTTCAGCCTATAACACCTTATCAAAAACATTCTTTCCATTCAAACTTACTATTATTTCTTGAACTAAAATCTTTTTCCTGTGAGTCCAGATAAAAAAATATATCTTCTTTAAAGTCTTAACCAATTCAACTCACAATTAAAGGTAAATAACTCCTACTATATTATTAATTATAAATGCTACATATTAGCATACACTTTGCGGACAATTGGCAATCAGTTTAAATTACCCGAGTAAATTCATTATTCAGTTTTGTATATTGTTGATATAAAAATGTTTTGTTATTTCTAGAAAAGATATTGTTGTTTTATATTTTGGATTTGATAGCCTTGTGCCATGCAAAAATTTAAATGTTTGTGAAGAAGTTTATTTTCACACAGCCAACACAAATAATACCTTCTGATATTGTAAGCGTTCTAAAAGCAAAGGAAATATTTGTCGCAGATTACTTCCACAATACAGAGAACAAATCACTGTAAGTTCAGACTCGAATATCGGGGCCAGAAAGAAATGCCGAAAACTCAATTTGCAGATACTATCCCACAAATCCCAGTGCACGTAACCAGTCAGAAAAATAATTCACTCTCAGTCGAACGTGGTAGCCAAAATACACCAATTTTCCTCCCCAATTCAAGAACACCAACTGCTTTTATCGGCCGAGCATTTTTTCCATTCATCAACAACTGGGAGAGAACACCCAATTTTTGCATATCAAAATACTTTAACAGCAACTCCTGCGATGGACTCATTTTTAATTTACATATTCCATCTTCAGCATGTCATGCAGAATACATGCCCTTTTTTTGGTAAGTAATTTTCTTTTTCGCCACATTTTCCATTGTAGGATACACGCGACATGCTGTCACTTGGTTTGACGAGGTAAGTCACCGTTTTTTTTGCTATAGATATATAAATATTTTTCCTAATAACCTACTCCACAGCAACACTATCATGTATAGTCACAAGTATTTTAAATTGCAAACAAACTTTATAGACACCTCATATTTACTTGAAAAGCAACTTTTTTTTTTCTTTTTAAATCAGTATCACTCCAAGCAAGACAGTAATGTCACTAAAACACAAGGGGTTACAGAGTGTAGAAGAATTAGGAACAGAAACAATAACGATGAGCAGAAAAAAAAAAAAGAGTAATCAGTAGTCAATAGCAATTTACATTGCATTCAAATTTTTGCAGATAAATGTTGGCTGGAAAGCATCGAGCCAGAAGGGAGTTTCACAAGAAATGTGAGAAAAGAAACTGTTAGCATAGAACTTATGGTTACATCTAACCAACTCAATTGTAAATTGGTGGGACCCTGTCAGCAGTCTAGTACTACGCTTAAATTAAAAAAGAAAATCTGGGTACCATAGCAAAGAGCTCATCCAAACAATTACCAAGAAAGTATTTATAGAAAAGGCTCAGAGAGGCAACATTATGGCTGTGTGAAAGTGACTGAAGCCGAGCCGCCAAATAATTTTACATTTTGTTTCTATTATGTATACAAAGCTACAAGTATTTTAAATTGCACACAAAGTTTACAGACACACAATATTTGAAAAGCAACTTAAAATCTATTTTTATTTCTCACCAATAGCAATGGACTTTTAGAGAATAGAGAATTCACTCATGCTTAAACAATTTACGTACAAATGATGTAAGGCTAGAAGCAACGAAAACATAGATTTACAGAGGGTTGCTAAGAATATCATGAAAATTATTAAAGGTATTAGCTCGTCAGTTGAGTGAGGCATTATCAAATCTCTGGTAGCAGCTTTTGTAATCAGGCAAAAAGAAATAGTATGAGAGAAAATTCATGCTAATATATTGTATCTTTTGGATGTGTTCAATTATAAAAAAATTTCTTTCACTTTTTGAAGGGAGATTTTAGAACCCACCAATATATGCCACACCCTCTGATGCTCCACAAAACGCAAAGAAAAAACGTAAAAATAGGAAACAAATAAAGATAACAAAAAAAAGATATACATAAAAATATTTTTTCTTTGTTGTTAACACTTTTTATCTTTCAGATTTCACAGAGATTTTTTTCAAGATGGCTGCTAACATAATGTATGGTGTTGTTTTGTCAGAACGAGGCTGGCTTCTTCCTTTGCTTTCACCATTTTTCTGTTGTCTGTTACAGTGTCTCCAAAAATGTGTGTATACCGAGTGCTTCACAACTTTTGAAACAAAATAATCAGATACAAATAATAGTGTAGTCAAAAGAGCAACTCTGTTTTGGGACATAATTTCAAATTGGGCATTTCTTCCCTATATTTATCGTTGTTCTCTTCCCTGTATCCGCTTCATCATTCGTTCCTCCTATCACAACTGTACATATAGTACAATGTACCCCAACCAAGATCTCTATCTCCACGATGGTCTACTTATAATGGGGAATCACCAATCACTTGCCCAGATGATAGACAGACTAGACATACAGGCACCCCAGAATGGAGCACTAAAACACTCGAACGTACCTCCTCAATTTTGTTCAACCACACTAATATTATACATATTTGCTAATGAATCAATTTCTTGTGGAACAACAAAGAAGAAGGGTCTCTTTTGACGGAACAACATACTTGCCTTTTCTCAAATCAAAGTCCTACATGCCAGACAAAGATGAACTCTCTTTCATTGAGAATAAGGCAAACCCTGTTTACCATTTCTGCTGCCATTTGACTCTGGTTCTGGTTCACTATGTCTGCCACAGATAGAGTAAATGAAAATTACATTTATTAATCCTAGAACACTAACCATGGGTATATAGTACCCAGCACAAATTTTCCTATTTTTAATTACAATTTTCAGTACCTGATTTTCTTAACTAAATAATGTTTTCAGTTCCTATTAATGTTAACTCAAAGTACAAAGTTTGAAGTGCCTGCATGTAAAATATTTCCAATAAATATTTATATTTAATATTTTTTTTGATATTTTGAAAATCAAGTTTCAAACATGAACCAAAGCTGCTCTAGAGTACATGCTCCAGATGTCCACCATTCAGTTGAAAGTGCTGTTGAAGGCGAAGATGTTGTTAAAGCATGTTGGGTGATCACTTGAATCTCCTAAGTAATAGCTGCCTTCAATTCAGGCTTGCCCTGGTAGATGTTGTTCTTGAGGAACCCCCAGATGAAGAAATCTGGGGTGGGGTGAGTCAAGTGCTCATTCCACTTCAGCTTTGCAGCTGATAAGACGCTCCCCAAACTTTTCACAGAGTCATGCCATAGTAACATTAGCAATGTGAAGAGGAGCACTATCCTCGTTGAACCACTGTTCTTCCTCATCAAGGTCCTCATGTTCCTTGAGCTCTCCCCATCTGAAAATCAACTGCTTTGTTTCAACAATTGTGAAACACCTTGTATATGCAACAGGTAAATTTTAAAGAACATGAGAACATACACTAAAAATCAGAGTTGAAAGTTCCGGGACAAATGATGAGGAAAGAGGGTTTGGTGAACTTAATACACACAGAATATAGTCTAGGGCAGAGGGAAACTGCAAGTAACCTATGTACTCATTTTTGTGTGAACGCAAAGCAGGTACAAATAGGAATACTGAATCAAAAATAGCTCAAAATTACAAGGGACAAGATGTTGTGAAGAGCCATGATTGCCTACCTTCTGAAGAGATACAGCACATAAAATAACTCTAGTCTACAATTTCACACCGAGCAAGGCAATAAAGCCACTAAGTTAATGAGTGTGAAAGAATATGAGAAAAAGAAAACATTATTAAGGAGAGAAGACAATAAAAGAACAAGAATTAAAAAGACAGGAGATATCAATTGATGCTGCATTTAAATCTTTGAAGATCAAAGTTGACAAAGAAGCAAGAAGCTGAAAGAAAGTTCCACAAGCAAGAAGTGCGAGAGAAGAAACTATTAGCATAGAACTTACAGCTACATCTAGCCATTTCAACTTTAAAAGTATTAGAACTTGCCACTAATCTAGTACTACATTTAAATTCATAAAGTCTAGGTACCATAATGGAAAGTAATATTTATTTTGATAGTACAAAAATATGGCACAAGGCCAAAAGGGGGGATAGGGGAAAGCTGGTTTTCAATTTGTCTTATCTTAAACTTAGCTAGCTACAATTACTGACCCAAACATACAATATTCCTTACACCAAAACAACACATTCTTACTTACCATTCTTATTACAATCACTATAATACCTCAATGTCTCTATGAAGTCCTAAATAATTCCCATATGTTCAATTTGTTGGAAGGGGGGGGTATAAAAATAAAAACCTTTCAAAATGAAACCCCAATGAATATTTACACTAATGAGCAAAGAAAGAGGAAAGCTAATCAGAATAATTGCCATCAAAGTATATATATAGAAAAGGCACAGGGAAGCTACATTACAGCAGTGGGAAAGTGACTGAAGCTAGGATGCCAGGTCAGGACCAATAACATTGCAGATTCTTCTTTGGATTTTATCAAGAATCTCTAAATATATAGTAGAAGTGCCAGACCACTATACTGTAACAAAAGAGAAAATCACCTACCTCGGAAAAGGGTTTGTGTTTTATGTGTGGTCTGCCGAAGGAAAAATAAAGAGAATTGTTAAAGTAGCAGAAGGATTATGCAAATGTTCTTTGCTCCCTGACTGGCATGGCCAATCAGAAAAATTGCTCTGTAAATAAAAGCTATTGCTTTGATTAACAGTGGGAGAACAATTCTTGAGCTTGATAAGTGAAAGTGCGGTTCCTCTGTTGCGAGTGAAGGGTTGGATTTTTGACCGTTTTCGGTATTAATTTGCCAGCTGGACTGTTTATGACACACTTTGCCTTTTGGACTTTTTGAACACAGATTTGTGATATTATCATGCATATGAAATAATCACTGATAAAGGTATATTTAGAGTATTATTGTACTCTAAATATACCTTTATCAGGAATTATTTCATATGCATGATAATAGTAGGCTTCCTGTTTCCGAGCACACTCATCTGGTAGGACGGCTAGTTAAATGTTCATGGCACATCTCTAGAAATTTCAGTAAAATTGCATATAATGCCCCAGTCACAAATTTAAGCCAGATATTCCAAAAATAGCATTAAAAATCGAGGGAAATCTACCATTTAGGAGATATTGACAATCTACACGAAAGTTTACCTATTTACACTGAAATACACAGATAATGTCCCAGTAACCAAATGACCGGGTCTGGGACCCAACTAAGATTGTCAATCTCTCCTAAACAGTAGGCTTCCGACAATTTTTAATGCGATTTTTGGAATAATCAGGCGATTTTACACGGGAATGATATTTTGTTTTAAATTTATGACTGGAGCATTATCTACAATTTTACCGAAATTTCATCTGTCAAATTATGAGACCTAACTGCCAATCTAGTACTGCGCTTAAATTAGTAAAGCCGGAGTACTACGAGGAAATTTAAGGTAAGGTAAAAATAGAAAAACTAGGTAGAATTAGAATAAAGGTAAAAATTTCGTTTTTGCGTAATGGACGGATATTTGTTTGTTTAGACTTTTTGGGGAATGAAGTTCATTACGAGTTGTGACAAAAAATAATTGTGAATTGACAAATAATTCAGTTAGGGGTTCAACAGTAAGTCGTTAGTTTTCTTGTGTCTATGATATATACATATATGAGGGTGGTTTTTAGTATAGTACTCAACTCACTCTAAAAATAACATTAAAAAAATCTCCATGACACGTAAACACATCAAAACAGTTCGTCTTAAAAGCTTTAGAGTGACAACGTCGTGGCGAAATAAGAAAAAAAAACAGTAATGCTTACAAATGTTTCTCCCTTAGATCCAATAATCGGCCGCTTCTTAGCAAACCTTTCTTTGATGATACTTCGACCAAGAACTTGGCCTTTTCCTTTTTTGCCCATTTTTATCGAATAAAATAACAACGCACATGGAAGCAAATCAAGGACGATAACTCTACCCTACACCGTTTGTTAAAGAGTTACTTGCCCTTATATAAGTTATTTTACTGCAGAGTACCTTGATGACCAATATTAGGTAACTAAACACGAACTGTATAAATAAATAAATTAATTAATTAATTAATTAATTAATTAATAATAACAACAATATATAGCATTTTATTCACTGTTAATAACAATCAGTTCTACATTCGGAATTGTGAACACAGGTAGAAGTCCTTCATTTATACATGTTTGAGTAAAGACCACGGTAATGTAAGGTTTTGTTTCATTTTTCTACTTAAACTTTCCTGCTTCCTTACAAATAAATAAACATCAAAATGTAGAAATTAAAAAAAAATTGAATGATTAACTATAAATGTCAACATTTTTTTTTTGTTCTAAACTTTTTAGGTTTTGAATTAGGACTAAGAAAATTTTTAAAAAAACAATTTCTTCCCCAAAACATGTGGGCATTTTAACTTTTACAAACAGGAGAATGATATTCACAGAAATGAAATTTAAAAATATTCATCAATTGTGATATTTTTTCTTTTTTTGAATCAATCACAGACACGCACACACACACACACACACACACACACACACACACACACACACACACACACACACACACACACACACACATATAGACAAATGAAAAGATAAATAACAAGTAGTGAAACAGATGTCAATCTAACGTTTCACTTTATTAAAGCTTCATCAGAGATCAAGACAGAAATGATAAAAGCAAAGAGACACAGATTAATGGCAAATTGTGTTTGATTGTTTCTTATTGGTTAAATATTTGTCATTTGTATTTATTCTATATATATATATAGAGAGAGAGAGAGAGACAGACAGACAGAGAGAATAAATATATATATATGTAGAATAAATAAATATATGTGTGTGTAGTGGTGCTGTAAGTATTGTTGGCTAGGGTCACCATGAATATAATCAAGAAGGAAAGCTGTGTTCTTGTAAAACAACACCCCACATGAATAATGTACAACAAACACGAGAGAAAAATAATCAAGCTCAGTGAACATTAATAAAATATTGTATTAACAATGATATACAAATATCAACAATAGTATAAAGAAAGTTGCTTCCCTTCTTCCGTAATAAAAAGGGTAAGTTTAGCTAATTAATGTTGAGTACAATATTGAATGTTATTTAACTACAAAGTTCAATTGAAGTCTTAGCTAAATAAAGGATAGTTCCACAGTGTTTTATCAGTGTAGAAAAATGTAATGTTCATGAGAGATATCAATAGGAATTAGTATGATTACTCGATTGAGTGATAATTAAGAATTAAAATGTCAATAGCGCCATGCCTTATTTTCCAAGAATTGAACTGCTACTGGCTGTTGGCAAACAGCAAGAGTCTTTTTATAACGATGGATAGGCTCCAGCGAGCTTGGCGCTAAAAATATAGAAAGATACTAAAATACACGATTGGTCAGGAAATGGACCAATCCATGATTTTAGAGAAAATTTCAAATTACCTGCGATGGCAAAATTGTCATATGATAAGTATCATATATTTACGAACCAATGATATTGAAGGAAATGGAGGTGTGGCGCATGTAAGTGATCCCCACATGTATGTGTGTGTGTGTGTGTGTGTGTGATTAATTGTATCATTTCTATCTTTATCTCTGATGAAGCTCTCATAAAGTGAAACATGTTAAATTGATATCTGTTTTCATATCACAGTTCAGATGGGCTGGTCATGTCATCAGATGCCAAAAATCCTCATGTATAGCCAACCTTTTCATGGTAAGCGTAATGTAGGCCGTCCTTGGTCACATTTCAAGGACAAACTCAAATACAATTTAAATGCTGCAAACATCCCTATACAGGAGTTCAAACTTGCTGTTGAAAACCGAGCAAACGGGAGAAACACCTGCCACCAAAGTATAACTAACTTTGAAAAGAATCATCTCAACCATCTGAGAGAATTAAGAATTAACACTAAATTTCGAGCCAATACATCAGCCCATATGACAGTCAACTCTTCAGCATGTCACTCATGTGGACTTGTTTGCAAATCCCATGTAGGATTGTTGTCTCATACAATACATAAACATAAAAACTGAACTGAAAGACACTCATATGTAAAAAATGATGGGAGAGTCCACACACACACATATATATATATATATATATATATATATATATATATATAAGAATAACTAGGAAAAATCCAGAGTCAGTAATACATTTATTTCGATAAATATAAGCATATTCATTAAATCAGACAAACTACATTTTATGAAATCTTGATCCCATTTTATAAAATGTAGTCAGTCTGATGAAATGAATATATTTATATTCATCGAGAATTTTATTATCACCTATGGATTTTTTCCTAGTTATTCTTATAATTTGCTCTGTATCAACAAGTCCCTTGTCAACGTCAAGCGAGCGTTATTATTATCTCTAACTTTCACCCTCACCTCTTTTATACTTGATAAACAAACAGAACATTTTAAGACTGAGTGATTACTTCAACACTTTGTACTTCCTACACTTTGATAATGCTCATACATATATACATCCACACATACATTCCTGACTACATACACATAAACTCATTCTTGCAAGGAGTACTATGAATATTTTGACGACATTTTATCAACCAAAATACATTAATTTTATTTGTAAAGAACATAATTGATTTATATGTATATAAATTTGTTGCTTCACTTTACAATTTGATTTTCTTGTTTTATACCCCTCTTATGGTATCTAACTAACAAGGTCAAATCAAACTAACCTGTTTCCACACTCATACACTTCACTATAACTGATAACCCACTATATATATATATATATATATATAAAAGTAGAATCAGCAATATTATTGGTTCTGACCTGGCATTGCAGCTTCAGTCAATTTCCCATCACTGTGACATCACTTCCTTGTGCCTTTTCTATAAATATTTTCTTGGTAACTATTCTGATGAACTTTTCTCTTGGGTACCTCAACTTAATGAAATAAAACATAGTACTAGACTCAACACAGAGGCCTACATCAAATGCCTTGTGGAGGTAGTGCTGCCTTAGGTCAAGTGGGTGGCTACTGGAAAACCCTGTGTTTGGCAACAGGACTCTGCACCATGCTACACAAGCAAGAGAACCCAGTCATGGCTGTCAGACAATTTCTGCGATCACATTACTCCTTAGATCTGGCCACCTAATTCCCCAGACTGATTATTATGTGTGGGATGGAGTTGAGTTAGAGACCTACAAAACTCCTTGTAACACCAAAGATGAACTGAAGCAAGGATTATGGCAGCATTCATTAACTTAAAGAAGGTAATCATCCATAAGAGTTGCAGGAGATTCCGAAATCATCTGGAGGCCTTGGTTGAAGGTAATGGCAATTTTATTGAATAAATCTACTCTTTAGTATTTCAAGATATTTTTGCAACTATACCTGTTAAAATGACATGTCAGCGTTATTTTCATTTTTGCATCATTTAGACGACTATTTATCCATCGCAACCTGTGATTCTGTAGTGATTACTACTATGTTTTGCCACGCCTACATTTTTCTCGACTGTGATTGGTTAAATAATAAATACTAAATATCACAGGATAATTTACTGATTTCATTCACCATACTGAATTTTTCCTACCATTAATTCACAAACATGCTTTTGTTATAAAATCACCGATTGGTTAATTTTTCATCCAATCAGATATTTTTCGTGTTCTTTCAAAATTTATCCGTGCTGGGAGCCTACTGGTAATAATAAAAGCCCGGATTCGTTCCAAAATTGAACAGTAGAGTTGAAGACAGTTGAAGACAGTAGAATTCAACAACTCACATGCGTCTACACAGACTATTCATTCTACTCACTCCGCACGCACACACACAGACACAGAACTTGAATATTATTCACCATCAGTTCTTTATGAACAAGCCAAGTTGCAACAGCTCTGTTAGTTATATAAAACACACAATTGAACTTACTGTATGTTCTTTTGAATACAACATTCTATTTCAATACAGAACTTTGAACATTCTATTCAGAAAACTTGCTTTATTACATTTTATCTTATTCAACAGATAAAGGGAAACTACTTCTTTCTCCTTATTCACACATTACAAAAATTGTTTTGTATTTGTTGATTTTAATATATATTTTATCGTTGAAACACAAATCGGTTTTCCATTGTTTTTCCTTGTTTTAAAAAAACGTATAAATGTTAAATGCTCTTCAACATGCAGCCATATTAATCTTTTCAACACAACCAGCATTTACAATTCCCCATGTATAATACGCATTGTTTTCTAAAAAATAATAAGGAAAATCAGGGGGGTGTATTATGCACAGCTACAAGGATCTTTTAAAAAATTGCTGTAAAATAAAATAAGAATTATCATGAAACTAAATTAGAATTATTCTCTGCTTAAAACCATTTAAATCAGAGTAGGAAATTCTGGCCTTAATGAAATTGGAGAGGTACAATTTATAGGGTTTGTTTGATTACCAAACAAGGGGTGCGTATTATGCGTGAGTAGAAGTATTTTACCACGCTTTCAGCACAATTTTAGTTGTGCGTATTATACATGGGGAATTACGGTTTTGTTTTGTTTTTTGCTTTTTTTTTTTTTGTTATCAATCAGTAACCAGTCGGGTTAATAAAGTTCTGATTATTAAGAAAATAAATAAATAATTTTAAAAAAATGCAGAATTAATATATATTTGTTACTGGCTTAAATGCTTCTTACTTTTTTTAAAAAATTATATTTATTTTCTAAATTTAAATTCTATTTCTGAAGAAAGCATTAAATTTAAAGGGCTAAAAATCCTCGCGGTCCTCAGAGTGGTGCCAGTCCTCTGTAGACAAGCTTTATCGCTGGTAAGAGAATTACCCTGACGAAAGGAAGGTGAGTGAAAGGTAAACATTAAAAATAACGCACACCTGTCCATTTAACAACACTTTTTTAGCTTTTTATATATATTTACTGTTTTAATATCTAGTCTCAGGTATTTACCTGAAATTATATACTTACTGAATGACTGAAAAACTTAGTGCTTTTCTTTTTATTTGAAAACCTAGACATTTTCGTTCGTTTGTTATCACCTCCAAACTTTGACCTCGTTGATAATTAAATTTTGTTTGAAGCTGTTTTCGTTTTTTTTGGTCTCGAACTTGGGACTTTAAACTCCATGTTATTTTTTTTTCTTTTTTAATTTAAGTACGTAACTAAATTTTTCCATAGCTTTTACCAAAGATTTGTTTAAAAAAAAAAAAAAACAATAACATTTGAACAATCCATTTTAATTTTTAATTCAAAAACGTGTGTAAAAAAAAAAAAATGACGTTTCGTCTTGTAATTAAAAAAAAAAAAGTTTGCCTTTATTTTTGCAAATATTTTTTTAACAAATTTAATTTAAAAACAGACCATGTTACACGTTTCTATAAAAAAAAAAAAACAAAAAAAAACATGCAGTTTAGCGTTTACGGTTCCGTTATTGGTGTCGAAAATGGAAACGATGAGCCGAGTTCAAATTCCAGCAGAGGCATCTGTGTTCATTTCTGCATTAAGGCCAATTTCACCAGCTATATGTAAAATAGTGCAATAGACTGGGCGCTTTAGCCTCGATTGGGAACCAATTTAGGAGAAGTACAAATTTGAATTCAAAACTACCAAGAAATCATGCCATTAGTTCCAAAGGAAACAATCATAGCAATGTACCATCTGCAGATTAAAGAAAAAAGGAAGCTGTGGAGAGCTATGATCGCCTACGACCTAAAGGGAAAATATAAAGCTATTTATTATCTAAAAGTTACTTAATTTTTGAAAAATGTTTCTACTCTTTCCAGATAGATTCATAAAACTTCTTGTAGGATTAAGTAGTAACACCATATGGAAATATACACTTTCCTTTTCACTAAGAGAGTGACAAAGAAAACTCTCTCTCTCTCTTCTTGTTGTAGAGTAGTTTTCACAATGGAGGCTTGTATTTCGCTAAGTCGGTCCTAAAAGGGTCCGACGTACAAAACGTTAGGAACTTGCAATAATAGTTAATGACGCAGCAATCTAGTTGTAGTGGATTGATACTTCAATGTCCAACATCGACTGACTCACTCCACTCCACTGAGCCCCACTGGCCACTGCTACTACTACTTATTATCTGTAGGAGAGTCTATTACAATAAAATAGGTAATGTTCTGGTATAACACTTCTCTATTACAACCTTCTTCATTTCCTTCCTTCTATTGTTCCTATCCTTGGTAACTGACAGAACCCAGACATAGCTTATGTGGGTCAATGAATGTCATAAAAAAATCAACCAATGACAACACGTCCCACCAAAAATCAAACAGAAAACACATGTGTCAAGCCCAATAAAAAAAAGTAAAGAAACGTGTGCAGAGAAACAGAAAGAAAAGAAGTGGAAACCCAGTTTGATGTAGAGTTTGAGGTGCAAGGGTTGCAGATTCATCGGATGTGAGTTGACTGGACTAGCAACTCAAGAAAAAAAAAAGAAGAAAGGATGAATTCAGCAAATTAATTTCTGTCATCCAAAACACACAACGACCCTGTATGAACTCTCAAATCACGAAAGGACTGAGACTATAGTCACCCACTTTAACCATTGTAACCAAATGGAGTCAACAATAAAATGGTACTGTAGACAGTCAATTTGGCCTTTACTTACATATTAGCCCAATCTTCATCTCTATATACCATAATCTATTAAGAGGTTGTGGTGGGACAGACTATGCCAAAGAAAAATTGAAAAATTGAAAAAAATTAATAAAATTTCCCTTCTATTGGGTTTTTTTAATTTCCTTTACACAAGAGTAATATATTTTTAATTTTTTATAAAGAGTAATTTTTTTTAATTTCCTTTACAAGAGTAATATATTTTTTTAATTTCCTTTATAAGAGTAATATATTTTTTTAATTTCCTTTACAAGAGTAATATATTTTTTTTTAATTTCCTTTACAAGAGTAATATATTTTTTTAATGAAAACTTTGTTTTGTTTGAATGAGTTGCCTGGAAAGTTCATGCCAATTTTTAAGGGAAATTAAAACAAAACAAAATTATGCCATTAAATATTTATTCAACTAAATATGAACCATTTTGTTGTCCAACCTTTCTTCATTTTTCCTTCCACTTAAAGATTCCATCTTCCCAAAATTTTGGTGGTTTCTCAGCAAAGAACTCATTAAGGTGTTTTTTACTATCATCCAAAGAATTAAAACTTTTATTATTGAGATTATTTTGCAAGTATCTGAATAAATAAAAATCAAAAGAATCAATGTGTTGTAACCTAGAAAAGGCTACTGAATGAGGAATAACCAAAACGGAGGTTGAAAATGAAATGGTAATCTTTATAACATCAACAAAATACAATACTTGCCAGCGGCATGAAGTAGGTAAACCACTGCTAGTGGTGGATTACTTAGACAGCATATTACCATTCCACTTACAGTAGTGTCCAACATATTTATGAGGATTGGGACATACCCGTTAGTGTTCATAGGTATGGTATATAACACAGTGTCTGGGGAATATGCCCGGTGAGGTAACACATCCCAGCCAAACAGCAATAATTTTTGCCAAGTTGCCAAAGAAATGCGAAGTCTGGCGCTATCCTGATAGAAAACAACACCTTTCCTTTCACCAATTCTGGGCATTTTTCTTGAATTGCTGCCTTTTAATTCATCCAGTTGCAAACAGTACTTTTCAGAAACAATTGACTGGTTATTTGGCACAAGCTCATAGTACAAGATTGTTCCAATCCCACCAGATGTGCAGCATGACTTTCTTAGGATGAAAACTTGCTTTTGAGGTGGCTAAAGTTGGCTCATGTCACTTACCCCAGGATCTTTTTTGCTGAACATTGTTGTAAACGATCCATTTCTCATCACCCATCACAATTTGCTTATAAAATGGTGAATTCTCATTGCATATATACAGTAAATCTCCAATGCAATCCAAAAGATTCTTTTCACTCAGATCACGTGGTACCCAAACATTGTTGCAATTTGAGTACCCAGGCTTCACTAAGTGTTCATAGATTGTAAATTTTAATAAATTTAGTGTTTCTGCCAATTACAGTGTTGTTTAGTATGGGTTATTCTCAATCAATGTTTTGATTTGGTTGTCATTTGTAGTGGCTGGGTGTGCCTGAGCGTTCTTCATCAATAAGGCTACAATCACCAATTCTAAACTTAGCGAACCACTTCCATACAGTTCTGTCAGCTTAAGCACCTTCACTGTACACAGTACACATCTTTTTTGTTGCTTGCAAGGCATTTTCATCTTTATGGTAAAAAAAAGCATCAAGTGTCTAAAATGTATCTTATAATCTTTCAATTTCATAGGGATGCAAAATTGACACAAATAATTTTCAATTTTTTTTCTCAAAAGATAGCTTGAAGTGTGCATGATTCAAAAATGTAAGCATATTATGTCCGTCAATAAATTTGATGTGTTCTGTTTTGGAACATGAACAGATGAAAATCCACACAAATTTTTCAGACAACCCAGTAGCATTCATCTTTTTATGGGGTGGGAATTTTTTTCATTTTTGAAAAAAAATTAAATTTTAAAATATAGTCTACTTCTATCCAGCAATTTTTGCAATCATCCCTGACCACTGACAATCACTTTATTCCTGATTTTCAATATATTCCTCTAGTAAATAATTAGCAATGTATTTATATTATACAGTAGCCCGATTCTATCAGTAATGCTTGCATTAATTCCTGACCACTGACAATCCTTTTTTTCCTGATTTTAAATGCATTTCTATAGTAAAATCATTAGCAATGCATTTCCATTATACATATAATAGCCCTATTCTATTAGTAATGCTTGCATCCATTCCTGACCACTGACAATCCATTTCTTCCCGATTTTCAATGCATTCCTATAGTTAAATCATTAACAATGTATTTCTATTATGCGTATAAAAGGCCTATTCTATCAGTAATGCTTGCATTCATTGTTGACCACAGACAATTCCTTTCTTTTCGGTTTTCAACACATTCCTATAGTAAAATCATTAGCAATGTATTTCCATTATACAAATAATAGCCCTATTCTATCAGTAATGCTTGCATTCATTCATTCATATTGAAATTTCATACACACATTGTCTGAGTGGGTGCTGAAAAATTCTCAGCCCGACTCATTTCACAGAAGTTGCTTATTTCCAAATGTTAGAATTTTTTTAATTGTTTCTTAGTCAGGCTGAGCAATTTTCAGCATCACAACATTTTGTTTAAATTCTAAATTTCAAATTTATTAAAGTATTTTTTCTTTAAATTTCAAAAGATCAATTTTTGCTCTTTACATTCTTTTCAGATGTTGGTCCCTTTCCGTTTGTTCTCTTTTGGGGGGAAGCACTTATTTCGGCAAGTGTTTCCTTCCCACTTGAGGCGATGTTATGCCACAGCTGCCCCCAAACCTTTTTATTACCAGGACATCATAAAATTTGAGAAGGAACCAGAAATTCCTTGGAAGAAGCTAACATGTGAGTTGTTCTTTAATTTAGAATCTTATCAGTTTTGAGGTAATAAAGGAGAGGAGGAAGAAAGGACTAACTATTAATTGTAAGAAAACAGGATGTGGGGTCATTAGCAAAAAGGACATACCAAGATATTCACATGCAAGTTGCTCTATTCTATTTTAACTTGCCTTGCCTATCTTGTTTAAGAAACTCTAATAACTTTTGAGGTAATAAAGGAAAGGAGGAATAAAGGACTAACTATCAATTGTAAAAAGACAGAATGTGTGATCATTTGCAAGAATGTTATCCCAAGATGTTTGCATGTGAGTTGCTCTATTCTAACTTAGTACATTGCCTAGCTTGTTTTAGAAACTTTATCCAGTTTTGTGGTAATAAAGAAAAGGGAGAAGAAGGGACTAACTATCACTTGTAAAAAGACAAGGCAAAATTTAACAAATGTATGCACAAAAAATCTGTGTCAAAGGGATGGTTTTTCTTTTAACCGCAACTCCTTTAGTAATTATTATTGTTTTAAAAAGCTATTTTTAGAATTTTCATGAAACTCAAACATATGAAACTGGATGTTTTTCTCAAGAACTGACAGCAAAAATGTTAAATACTATTTATTTATTATATTACTTATTTACAAGAATAATTTTATATTTACAAGATTATAAAAACATGTGAACCAACTAGGTCTGTAATATCGGTTGTGAACAGGGCTAGCCTTGATTTTTCTCTTTTAAGTCCCCTTTAGAACAATGGGGCAGTTTCTTGTGAATCCTCCCCTGGTTAAGTTAAACTGTTTTATGTTTTCCTAGTTAATGTGAATAAGTATTGTTCTCTGCCTGTTCCCAGCACTGTTATGAGCCATGTCGAGATTCGCAACCTCCCCAGTTTGTTTTTGTCTCCTTTTCTTATCTTAGCTGGGTCAGATTTTGGTAGAAGTCGATTCTGTCAAATGGCAGAATACAGTGGCCACTCTCATTATTTTGATGGGTGAACGGACTCTACTAACATTTGTTTTGTTTTGTTTTAGTTCGGCTTTGTTTCATTCTTTAATTTTGTTTTTGGGTTCATTCCCTACCCTCATTATTTTTAGAATTTTCATGAAACTCAAACATATGAAACTGGACGTTTTTCTCAAGAACTGACAGCAAAAATGTTAAATACTATTTATTTATTATATTACTTATTTACAAGAATAATTTTATATTTACAAGATTTAATTATTTTATATTTACAAGATTTAATTATTATGTAAATTTTTATATATTTTTGTAAAAAAAAAAACATTTTGATCATTTATTAAGTTTTTATGTCATGGGGTGTTTTGAAAGTCCCTGGTGTATATGTTGTATTGTGATATATGTAAGATTGGGAGGAGATGGACAAGTTCTTGTGGTAAATGAGCATATGTATTGAATGAATGGGTCATGATTGTGATTAACTAGGACTAGGATAGTTACTGAGTACCAGCCTTTCTCCACTTCCCCTTCGGCTTTGTACCACAATTTTGTTTTAAAAATGCAAAATAAATATACATCCCCCCCCACCTGCACAAATGAAATCAGCAAAAACAACTAAACTAAACCAAAGCAAAGTTTGAGAAAGATTTGAAATCACTTTTACTTATTGTCAAATTTTACTTACTATTTTCAGCTGACTTTATATCAACGTTTGATGTTAAGGGGAACAAAATCTTGCAAGTGCAGTCGGAGGGCCTGAGCCTTTTGGCTGAAAAGGCCATCATTGATATTGAACATTTACTTCGGCCTGGACACTTACAGGTAAATATAGAAATTTCTTTTGAATACTTGCAGATAAATATAGAAATAGGTTTTGAAAACTTGCAGGTAAATAGAGAAATCTGCTTTGAAAAACTTACAGGTAAATATATAATTCTGGTTTTAAAAAATACAGGTAATTTCAGAAATAGTCTTGGAAAACTTCAAGTAAATACAGTAAGTGTCAAGATTATGACAGTTTCAGTCTACGATAATTCATGATGATAGTGCAATCCCCATTAATCTTGTTTTCAACTTGTGTCACTTGCCTTGTACTTATGACATAAATGGTACGGAAGAAGAATATGCTGCACAGCAGAAGAATACATTTTTGGTAGTCCTAATTATGTTAATATATCTCGTTGTTATGTCCTAGATTATTACTTCACTATTGCATTAGCATAGGTGAGTGAAGTACTTATTATTCATGGATAAATTGCTGGTATCTTTTGAAAGTTGCATTATAACATATCATAGAAATGGAACTTTTTTGTAGAGAAATTTGGTTTCAAAATCTTGCAGGTAAATACAGAAATTTGTTTTGTAAAACTTCTTCAGTCACTTTCCTACTGTCATAACGTAGCTTCCTGTGCCTTTTCTATAAATATTTTCATGGTACTTGTTCAAATGAATTCTTTACTGTGGTACCTAGACTTCATGAATTTAAGCACAGCACTAGATTGGCAATAAGGTCTCTTCAATTGACATTTGAATAGGATAAATATAACTGTAATTTCTATGCTAACACTTTTCTCTGACTTCTCACTTGTGGAACTCTCTTCCAGCTCCATGTTTTCCAGCCAATTTTGATCTTCAAAGATTTAAATGCAATGTTAATCGTTGTCTTTTTGGTTACTTCTCGCTTGTTCTCACCCCTTAATAATGTTGCTATTTTCTAATTCTTTTGCACTAAGTAACCTCCTTGTGTCTTTAGCAATATATTATCATCAATCAGCAATATTATTGGTCCTGATTTGGCATCTTGGTTTCAGTCACTTTCCCACCACTGTAAAGTTGCCTCTCTCTGCCTTTTCTGTGAATACTTTCATGGTAATTATTTGGATGAGGTCTTTGCTATCGTACCAAGACTTTTTGAATTTAAATGCAGTACTAGACTAGCAACAAGGTACAGGTAAATATAAAAATTTGTTTTGAAAACTTACAGGTAGATAAAGAAATCTTTCCAAAATCAATTGGGTTTTTTCTAGCAGTTCAAATCAATTGTTAACATAAATAAACAAAAACGTAATATGAAAATGGGGGAAAGGAAAAAACATTTTGCGTTCTCTATGGTTTTTCAGCATTTACCAACAGCATTGCACACAGGGATCAACTTTCCACATTGATGACATCAAAAAGTCTACTTCATAAATCAATCAGGATTAGGTTAAACTTCTAAAGTCTCCGTCTAAACTCTGAAATTTATAATATTATTGGGTTTCAAGTTCCTTCTAAATTCTACTTTAATTCTATATGTCTAATGTTTCTGCCTAAACTCTGAAATTTTTACTATTTATTTTATTTTAAAAATTTTATTTTTAAAAAATTTTCCACAATAAGAGTAGATCAGTTCACTTATCATGCAGTTTATACTCCTTCCCGGTCTTTTGAACAGGAGTACAGGTTTATCCCTTGTTGCCTGTTTAGAATTTGGTTTCCAATTCATTCTAAATTCTACTTCAACTTTATACTTCTAACATTTTTGCCTAAATCTATAATTTAGTTTCCAGTTCCTTCAAAAGTTTTTTCCTTCTCTTTCACTTCCAGTAGCCCTTGTATCTTAGTGGTTTTATCTCCTTGCTTGGAGTGAATTGATTAAAAAAATATTTGAGGCTAATATTCAAATAAATTGACCTTATTCCCAAAATAAGGTCATCAGGTTGTTGAGTGGTTCTAAATAAATACAGGCTTATAAGCCGCATCACATTGAAACACAAATTCCCATGCAATCACCGAAGTTAAGCAACTTTGAGCATTGTCAGTACATATATGGGTGACCACTTGGTAATACCAGGTGCTGTAAGCTTGGATGTGTGGGTGATGTAATGGATAATGGCTCTAAATTGTTAATTGGAGAACCAAGTTCCAATTTCAGTCAGGTTCATTATATTCACTTACCTGCAGATACCCTTGGGAAAGGCATGAATCCACCTTTCCTCCTCCTCCTCCAGGTTTGGGTTAATTAGTAAGACTTGTATCACTAAACCATTATCTCCCCAAAAAATTCTTAAAATATTTTCTGGCATTAAATAATCTACAAAGAGTTGATAAGCCATAAAAAAAAATGAATCAACCAATAATTACACCTTAACCAATTTAGACAGTGTTGGAATATATCATCACACTTCATTGACATCAAGAGAGACAGTCATAAGAAAAACTTATTTTTGGAGTCTGGGAATGCTCTTAAATTTTTGTCATATATGGATTAATGATAATGGCTTCCTCATTGGATTTATTATATTCACTTACCTGTAAATAACCTTGGGAAAGGTATGAATAACCTGCAAATAGTTAAGCCATAAAAGAAACAAATTGATCAATAAATAAATACACTATGACCAATGTAGACAGCAGTGTGATGTAACTTCAAACTTCATTGACATCAAGGCAGACATGCATAGAAAAAATTATTTTTGGAGTCTGGGAACGCTCTTAAATTTTCACCATATATAGATTAATGATAATCGCTTCCTTGCTTTACCCCAATTCAGATAATGAGAGAAAACTTTATCCATTCATTCTATAAAATCAAAATGGCGTAAGACAAGGATGCCTGCATCTGCTTGAAAAATAGGGAACATTTATGTTGATCATATTTCCTTCCTTCTTTCTTACTTTTTTCTTTCTTCTTTATCAGCAACTTTCCAACATTCTCAAAGATCCAGAAGCCTCAAAGAATGATAGATTTGTCGCTATGGAATTATTAAAGAACGCCAACATTGCTGCTAATATGGTATTACCTGGTTGCCAAGATACTGGAACTGCCATTTGCATGGGTAATTTTTCTTTTATTTGTCTTCTTGAACTGACTCTTAACCAAAGCCACTAGATTTGAAAGCATATTTTTCCTTCAAATACTAGAATTTTTAGCTATGTGGGTTAGTCACTCAAAAGGAGAAATCGGCAGTTTGAGTTAATTTCCAATTCCAATTGGTTTCATTATAGTCACTTATGTGCAAATACCCTTAGGAAAAGGTATGGATCGCTCTCTCCCCCCATCAGCTATGGATTAATTAGTACAACTTGTATCAATAAATCAGTCAGTCACTTTAGTGCCATATGCGATCAATACTTGGGCAATCATATTTCTTTTGATTCATGACTGATTTGGCAGATTTTTTCCTGGAGTTGCCATTTTTTCTTTTTTTTTGCGGTAGACTGGTTGCTAACAAAGAATATAGAATCCAGTCTGTCCTTCTATTTAACCCATAGCTGGGAGGAGAAGAAATGGGTTCATACCTTTCCCAAGGGTATTTGCACATAAGTGAATGTAATACACTTGACTGGAATTCAAACTCAGCTCTCCAGTTTCTTATTCGGAGCTGATATCCATTCTAACACCCATTATAATCCCCAAAATATCTTAAAGATCTAAAATTATTTTCTGGCATTAAATGACCTGCAAAAAGGTTGATAAACCATAAAAACAAATCAACCAATCATCTTTATTTCAGGAAAGAAAGGCCAGTACGTATGGACGGAAGGTCAAGACGAAGAATCTTTATCTTTGGGAATATATAATGCTTACACCAGAAATAATCTACGATATTCTCAAGTAAGTAGCATTTTTCACATTAAGATGTCAGACATCCTCATCATGTTGGCTATCTTCATCATAGCCATGTTTTTTGCTGAGTCAGGTCCAGGATTAATCTCATACAAAGCAGAGTGAGTCCTGCTTCCATGTGTGACGTCATTTGCTTACATTTGATACGCCATGAGCAGATATGAATGTACGTGAGAGATTCATGGAAGATTGAAGTTTAAATACAGTAAATTCGACCTTGCTAACCGAACGCTCCTCTGTGGCCAAATCAGTAAAGGCATGTCAAGCTAAATGATGGTTCCGTATAGAATACAGGTTTGAATCCTGTCAGAGAACAAATATTTTCTTTGAAAATTTCTCGGACATTCAGGCTGGTAAATGTTGTTTAATACTGTTTATTATAAACAGAGCATTTACTTAAATATTTGTATCAATAAAAAGAATGTATAAACATAAAAAAAATGTCTTAAAATAATTATCGGACTTTGTCCATTTCATAATATATATATATATATATATATATATATATATATATATATGTAGGTATCAAACATAGATCAGAATCTAACAGAATGATAGGATAAAGAACAAATAGGAAATGTTTATCAATCTAACATGCTTCACCAGGGAATGAAATATAGAGAAAAGAAGAAATAAATTCTGGTATTTTTACTGTTGTTTGATTTTCATTACACACACTTACACATATACATTATCATCTGAATCCCACATAGACAAATTAAAATTATGATGTGTTGATAGACATAAGTGAGTATTTACATTTTTTTTTTTTGTTAGGTGTGGAATCTGTTAATTTATTGGAGCTTTGAAGAGACACATCATCTCTCCTTGAGTTCAGAACACCATAAATTATACTAAAACTGTGATGTAATGAATATGCATACACCTGGGTTCCCCCTCACAGTAATATGATTGGCTGGTGTCAGCCATAAATACAGACTGATGTGGAGGTACAAGACGACACCTATTGTCTTTGCCTATTGCCTACGACTACAACAAGGACCTGTCCATTACTGTTACCTGCTAGATTGTCCTACCCGGTTACAGTAGTCGACAACCACTTTGCTACTTTGAACAAATATATCCCTTTCCGGGACATATCAAACTGCTTAAAAGGTAAAATGCATGAGAAGCCTGCTTAACGAATGAAAAATCAACCAATGCAAACTAAAAATACCAGATTTTTTTCTCCATATCTCATTTTCCGATGATGCTTTAATAAAAGTGAAACATGTTAGACTGATAAATCTTTACAATTTTGTCAGATTCCAATCCATATTCGATCTGTATTTGATCCATTTCATATATATATTAAAGAGAAAAGAGAAGCTGCAAACATTTTTTAGTTATAATGTGGATTTTTAAAAATATATGCTGTACTTTATTTTCCATATTTTTTTGCTACATGCATTTTGGGTCAATCGGACATCTAACCACACTGAAGAACTGTGTTACAACGAAACAGTCTGTCTGTTGTTAATAAGAAAAAATAAGTTTGACAGGTAAGAGAAGAAACAATTAGAATAGAAATTACTGTTACATTTAGCAATTTCAATCTAGTACTAATTCCCAAAGTTGAGATACCACAGAGGAAAGCTTATCAGAACAAGTACCTATTTACATTGTTCGGTCTTTTGTCCTCATCTTTATTGCCATATTGTTGTAGCATACCTATGGACAATAATGGGTATGTTCCCATTTAAATAAATACAGTAGTAAATACTGTATGTTGGTCTGCAGTTGGAGATTCATTGTGGAATTCACTTGACTCACTTCTAGCAGTTGACTACTTCTTCTACACGCCGCTGGCAAATCTTATATGTGTTGTTCTTGTCCTAAGTATTATCATTCATTACCAACCATTTGATTATTCTATTTAGTAACCTTCCCTAGGTTACAACACATATTCACAAAACTTTGGCCGTTGTATGCTCCAGCCTTCTTCGGGTGATTGGAATTTCGAACTGAACCTTTTATCTCATCCACCGGGGTAGACCTATTCTAGTTCCACATGCCATGCATCTTCTGGATGTCTCGTTTTAACTCAACTCTCCAAGTTTTTGTTCACCACTACAGTAGCCAGGTATTGAACTCACAACTTTTTGAGTCAAATTACTCAAGTCATATAACCCAATGGATAAAAGCATTGGTTGGATCCAATGACTTTACTCAAAGAATTGTGAGTTCAATAATCAGCTACTACAGTGGTGAACGAAAACTTGGAGGATTGAGTTAAAAGGGAGATAACTGAGACATCCGGAAGTGGCATGGCATGTGCAACTAGAGCAGTCTACCCTGGTGGATGAAATAAAGGGTTCAGTTTGAAATTACAATCACCTGAAAAAGGCTGGAGCATACAATGGCCAAAACGTCTTGAATATGACAATAAAGATGAGGACAACAGTTTGAACAATGTAAATAATTACAATACCTCAACTCAGAAATATAGATAGAAGGGCCATGAATAAATTTGTAGAAATGGAAACTAGAGAAGGGTGGTGGAAACTAGTTTTAGCCAAGATATCAGGTTGGGACTGATAATGTTGCAGATTTCTCTTTGGATTTTGTCAAGACAATATTTGCTTTTCTCTGGGCACTCAAGATTGATGACTATTCTTGTGACCATTTTTTTTCTTTTTTTTATGCAGGTGGCGCCATTAGACATGTACAAAGAAGCAAACACGGGAACCAACCTTCCTGCTCAGATTGAGATTTATTCCACAAAATCAAACTATTATGATTTTTTGTTCTTGGCCAAAGGTGGAGGTTCCGCAAACAAAACCTTTCTGTTTCAGCAGACAAAAGCTATCCTCAATCCGGACAAACTTTTAAGTTTTATTAACGAAAAAATTAAGGTAAGCAACTGCAACACTACATATTTAAACAATGTCTAATAACAAAAATTTATATATTTTCCAATAAGAAAAACTTAAAATCTGTTTAACCAACGAAAAACAAACCACAGATTTTTCTCTTTTCTTCCTCTTCTCCTTATTTCCTTTTCTGCATCTTAGTAGCTTTATTGCCTTTATCTTATATACCCGGTGTAACAGAAAAATTGTCCAAATTGTATAAAAGCAAAATTGTCCATTTATTAGATTAAGCTCTGAACCATTGTATTTTAGAAATGATTAAAGATATCTTACTGGAATTCTCGAAAGTTTTTATAACACTATTGGACTCTTTCTTGAAAAATAAGAATGTATATTTACTCTCCAAGCTTAAGAATCAAGATGAAATCGATCATAAATGAAAATGACATGTTCATAAGTAATTAATCATAGCTAAGGATCGGAAGCACATGAGGAATTGAAAGAAAGTTCAAATATATATATATATATATTTCAGGACCCTTTACAAACTTATTCAAGATGATCTTTGCCCCCTCTAACCTTCTCACTTTCTGTCCTGGAGTAACAAGGTGCCTCACAGGTTTTATGTACAATTTCATTTTCAAGTCTTTTTTCACTGCTCTTTGGACTGTCTTAGCTGAAACTCTTCTATCATATGCCAAACGTCTTATAGATTAAGTTGGATCTTTTCTAATTGATCTCTTTAGCTCTAAGCTGAAATGATGATCCTTCTTCCTGTTCTGACCTCCTGGTTCACTTTTCCTCTCTACTGTTTCCTCTTTCATAAACATATTCACTGTTCTCTTCATGGTTCTTGTATGGACTTTGAAGATGGAAATCAGAATATGAATGTTAGTACCATTACTGAAGACCTGAATTATTTTTTTCCCTCTTGCTCCATTGGGAAGACTGGGTCTGACACAAAACAATTTTAACCTGTTCTCTTTCTAGCTGAATGACTCAAAGGTTATTTCAGTGATTCTTACAAAAAAGGGTGTCAAGATGGCTAAATGTCTTATCTGAAAACTTGGGAAAAAAAAAAAAGAAACTCAATTAGTTTAGTGTTTTTTTAGATATTAAACATTTTGTGGGATGGACAATTATGCTGTTACACCCAGTATGTAGATATATATATATATATATATACTAGCAGCATAGCCCGGCATTGCCCGTGCTTGATTCAAAAATCCTACGGCTCATACAGCAATTGCTATCACTTGACTTAAAATATTTTTGCCCTTCCTTGCCTTTAAAGGAGTGCCCTTTGCTGTGCTGATGTTGCAACATGCCTTACTTCTTGCCTATCTCACACTGCAAATTTTTTCTAAGCTCTATACTAAACATTAAATCTGTTACAAAAAAAAGAACCAAACAAAATGAACACAAAACGATCAGCTTTAAAAAAAGGACTCAGAATTGAAAAAAAAACGAATGAAAAAGAATGTTAACAACAAATACTTTTTCACACCCAAACCCAGTTTTATGGAATCAGAATCAATGTTGAGTTTAAGCAAGCGAATGAGCCAATTGGAGTAAAGTGCCATGCAGATTTAAATTTTTCCCACTTGTGACAAATGCAGCTATTGATTTTTTTTGCATGCTAGCATGCTAGTTAACATTCATGTCAGTCAGCTGTTGGCTCTCACACTGGCTAATAGAATCCTCCTGCCTTTTTGTGGCAGCCAGCTATTTGCTCTCACTCTGGCTGGTACAAAATGGCCACAAACTACATGAAAACTGCCGTAGAAGCATGAAAAAATCGATTATTTCCACTATCGATGGGAGTTGAGAAATGCAAACTCGGTCTTGGCCTTCCCGCTAACTTGGAGCAAGTGCATGTAAAATTGTGGCCTTGCATTCGTTACACACACACACACATCCTGCCTTTTATTTATTTATATATATATATATATATATATATAGCATATTTGGGTTCAGTCAAGGTGTTCTTTTTGTATTTCCTTATGAACTGGGATCAAATATAGAATGATAGGATAAGGGACAGATAGGAAACATATACAGGGTTTCTATAAAGTTCGTGTGCACTTTAAAAAATTTATAACTTCATTTGTATTTGCGACAGAAATAATCTGTAAAAAATGTTATAAAGTTTAATGTACCTAGTTTTAAGTATAGCTAAAATAACTAATGTGATTTCAGGCATTACTGTAAATCACTTGGCAAATATTATCCATGAACTGCAAAATTGTATTACCCTTTGTATTGCTAATGATGGAGGACATGTGGAAACTTAAATATAATTTCAATAAACCCTTAAAAAATATAGATTTACTTCTTTCTAATCCTTTTTACAAATTATTTCTATTGCAAATACAAATAAAGTTATAAATTTTTTAAAGTGCACACGAACTTTATGGACACCCTGTATAAATCTAACATATTTGTATCTCAGTAGCTTCATGGCCTTGCTTGGGGTGAAATGATTAAAAACAAAAAAAATTATTGTCAGTGGCATTTATAAAATCGAAATTTTGGCCTGATTTGCTTCTTTTTGGGTTTCACTATTTAGATGTTAGATTTCTTTTTCATATGCTGTTTTTTCTAAATGTTGTGATGTCACTTTCCTTGTTGGCTCCAAATTCCTGTAATTTAATAATTGTGTATTTGGGAAGCAAAGAAAAGGAAATCTACATATTAAACAAAAAAAAAAAACTGTTTTTCTTTCTACTTAGACCCTTGGAACAGCTGCTTGTCCACCATATCATCTGGCTATTGTGGTGGGTGGCACCTCTGCCGAATATAACTTGAAGACAGTGAAATTAGCTTCTTGCAGATACCTAGATATGTTACCCACAACAGGTAAGTCTTCTTTCACTTATCACTTTAAAATTTGAGTACCATATTTTCTTGTGTATAATATGACACCATGTTTCTGAAGCTAAAAACAAGGAATAAATTACATCCTGAGTATGACAATCATCATCACTTCCCCATACAGGAGTTTGACATTCTGTCACCTAGTCTGCACTGGAATACAGTGTCAAACTGTTGTCAGAGGTCACCTGTGAATATGCCAGACTATGTTCAGAATATGTGAAGGTGCCAGAGTGCATCTTCACATATTCTGGACTGTATCTCTATATATGCCGGACAATGCCTCCACATATTCTGAAGGGTCACTCCATATATGCTAGACAATGTGTCCAAATATACCAGAGGGCACCTCTGCATATAACAGAAAATGCCTTCACATATGCCAGAGTGCACCTTCACATGTGCCAGACAGCATCTCTACATATGCCAGACTATGCCTCCAAATATGCCAGAGGTCACCTCTGCATATACCAGAAAATGCCTCCACATATGCCAGACTATGCCTCCAAATATGCCAGAGGGCATCTCTGCATATACCAGAAAATTCCTTCACATATGCCAGACAGCACTTTCACATGTGCTGGACAGTATCTCTACATATACCAGGAAATGCCTCCACATATTCCAGAGGCTTTTTCCACATATGCCAGATAATGCCTCCATATATGCCAGACAGTATCTCTATGCCAGACAATTTTACCACATATGCCAGAGGCACCTCTACATATGCTAGACAATGCCTCACATATGCTGGACAGTTTCTCCACATATGTCAGAAGGCAATTCTGCATATACCAGACAATTCCTTCACATATACAACAGGGCACATATCAGAAATGCCTCCACATATGCCTGACCGTGCGTCGACATATGTAAAATTTTCTCTCTTCTTACGCCAGCCTTCATCTCTTCACTTAATATATTGCGTCTTTTCATTTGCCTAGCTTTAAATTTTCAAATAACTCTTAAACAAAAACTGAAGTGTGACATTTCTTTTCATTTCATCCCCTGTTTTGCTTAATTAAATCTGGAAATGTTTTCCACATGTAATTCATAACATATTTTCCTGAATTTCCAATCTGCAATGTAAATAAAAACACTGAAATGTTGAGTGAATCGATCTTAAATGTAGATTTTAAAATTTGATTTAAAACAATAAAGATCATATTGTAACTCTATTGGCATCCTTTTTGTATTGATTTATGGAGGGTTGATTTGTTTTTTTTTTTGTTGTTTTTTTTATGGCTTATCAACCTTTTGTCAATTATTTAAAACCAAAGGATATTTTGGACTATAGGAGGTTACTTACAGTACCTGATATTCCGAAGCAGTCTTTCGTCTAAGTACTGACCAACTTTGACCCTACTTAACTTTGGTGATTGAATGAGCAGAGCATGATTTCACCATAGTTTTTTATGTCTTATCAACCTTTTGTCAATTATTTAAAGCCGAAAGATATTTTTGACTATAGGAGGTTGTTTATAGTATTTGATGTTCCCAAACACTCTCTCATCTAAGTTCTGACTGGGCTTGACATTCCTTGACTTTGGTGAGTGAATTAGAACTGGCATTTTCAGCAGGATTTGACCATAGTATTTTTTTTGTTTTTCAGGTAATGAGCATGGTCGTGGCTTTCGTGATGTGGATTTAGAGAAAGAGATACACAAGCTGACTCAGAATATGGGCATCGGGGCTCAGTTTGGTGGCAAATATTTTTGTCATGATGTTAGAGTAATTCGGTTACCCAGACATGGAGCTTCTTGCCCCGTCGGAATTGGTGTGTCTTGCTCAGCAGACAGACAGGTCAGTAGAGATATTTGTTTACCTTTTAGCTTGGCACAAGGTCAGGTGGGAAGTAATGGAGGTGGAAGATTGTCATTCAAATGTTGTGGGGGATGAATAGTTTTTCACCAGACAACCCCTTTCTGCACACACAAAATGTTGCTAAACTCTTGCTACACTATCGCCATTTTCATGGTAGATATTCAGATGGGCTACATTCTATTGGAATCCGTCTACCCAGGTTTTTGTTGCTGTCTGAGTGTCAGGATTCTAAACATTTAACATCAGCAACAACATATTTTAAATGAAACATAAAAAAGGGTTACTTTCTGAAGCAGAAGCCAAACATCAGTTGAAATAACATTTATATATTCTTTGCAGAAATACACAATAGCAATAAAATGTTCAATTTTCCTTGCTGTGAAGTTTGTTTTATAAAGTAATTAAGTGTTCTTAGTGCTGTATGAAATGTGTGGACAGACTTACTTTATGACAGTCAGCCTAATGTTTCTGTTAACGAGTGGCTGTTGGTTGTCGTCTCTTCCATTGTGTGCATGGGGAGGTGCATGTGTAGATCAAACAGGTCTCTGAAATTGTTTTGAAACTCTGAGAAGCAGTATGCTTTTATTTTTATATCTGTAGGGGGATCCAAAATCTAATTTCACATAGAGACATGAATTTTTTGAATGCAAGATTTTCATTGGTTAGAAAATAATTTTACACTAGCTGCGAAAATCTTTTTCCCAAATTTGCAGGTGTGGTGAAGGGTGTTATTATTGTTATTTTCTAAATGGTCCAAAAATACCATGTGGTAGGTCTACAACTACATTCACAAGTTTTTGGCAGTAGTTTCTTGAGAAATTTCAAATCGGAAAACTGAAATTTTCATGGATCTTTCTAGTACTCATAATTTCACTATCTAATATTATGACAATGTTCATTGATTTATTTTTCAACTTTAGAAAAAATAGTTTTGTCATGAGACACTTCAACAAATACAGTATTTTGAATTTCTTAATAAGAAAATGAAAACATTTTTCAGATTTGAAGATAACTAAATATTGCAAAGATAAAAAGATTATATTTCAAGATGATATTGGAAAATTCTCAAAATCAGCTTAAAACAAAGTATACCATTCTTCCTTCAGGACATAGGCTATCATGACCCTCCACAACTTCCTGTAATTTTTATTCTAAGTAATTTTCATTCTTTACCATCCATCTGGCAGCAAGGCCTCTGATTGGGAGATTGGAGGTTTTAAGGTGGGTGGAACCTCCTCTTAACTGCTGTTGTTCCCAGGTCCACCCTTAACTGGGATGGTAGTGCCTGTTAGGGTCCCAGCTATGGGCAAATAGTGAACCCCCAAACACTATAAAAGTATAAAAATGCATTATTATAGTAAAAATACCAGCAATACATTTTTATATAAAATAAATTAACAACAATACATATTTATAGCAAAATGACCAACAATATATTTTATCTGTAGTAGAAGCGATAAAATTGTGTTCAAAATATTTAGATTCCAGCATTAAATAACCCACAGAGGTTGATATGCTGATAAACAAAATCAAATCAAACTGCCCATCTTTATCTGTATTCTGGCATCCATTCAAACTTGTTAAGTCAGTTACTCACTAATAGCCCTATCCCTTGTAGTGCTAGTAGGTGCTGATATTAGATAGCTACACCATTCCATACTGACCTTTTATTGACTTTACTTTTTTGTCTTTTTCAGATTCATGGTAGAATAACAGAAGAAGGAATCTTTCTGGAGCAGTTAGAAACAAATCCTCATAAATATTTGCCAGAAATCACTCCAGAAGAGCTTGGTGGTGATGTTGTTCAAGTAAGTTCTCTTAGCATTTGAAATTTTTTGATGTTTAAATAAATAACTCAACTTGAAGGTTTTCCTGTTGAAACTCCTGTGCGGTTATTCTTTTTATGTCACTGAGATTTTATCTCCATCTCAGATATTTTGTGTTTTATGACCAGCAATAAAGTCTGTGAGATATGGTCTTCAAAACTGTCACCCACTTGACCAAAATGGAATAAAACAATAAATACCTGAAAACTTTTGGGAACAAGTGACAACAAAACTGGACATTGTGGATTTCCCATTACAGGCTTATATATTTTTTTTAATCACTTCACCCCAAGCAAGGCAATAAAAAAGACACAAAGGGTTACTGAGTGTGAAAGGACACGAGGAAAAGAAAATATTATTAAGGTGAGAAGAAAATGAAAGAACATGAATTAAGAAGGTAGAAGGTAATGATTGACATTGCATTTACATTTTGAAGTTAACTGGAAAGCAAGAGGCCGGAAGAGAGTTCCACAAGTGAGAAGTTGTTGTAGAGTAGTTTTCACAGGGGAGGCTTGTATTTCACTAAGTCTGTCCTAAAAGAGTCCGACGTACAAAACATTAGGAACTTGAAATAAGAGTTAATGACGCAGCAATCTAGTTGTGATGGTTGATACTTCAATGTCCGACATTGACTGACTCACTCAGCACCACTGAGCCCAACTGGCCACTGCTACTACTACTACTACTTATTATCTGTGGGAGAGTCTATTACAATAGAATAGGTATTATGGTATAACAGAAGTGCATGAGAAGAAATTGTTAACATAGAACTTACAGTTAGATCTAGCTATTTCAACTGTAAAATGATGAGACATAGCCCCCCAATCTGGTACAGCAGTTAAATTCATAAAGTCTATATTAACAGCCATAGTTGTATATGTGTTCTGAATTGCCTGTTAGCAAGGACAGACTGTCCATTGAGTAGTTCTGATATCACCTAGCGACAGTCTGCGTTGTTGAGATGGGTAGAGAGTTGCCAGGAGGGAGTTGAAGGGAAGTGGGGATTCGATATAGTAGAAGTCATGTCACTACCTACCTACCTACCTACCCATCAAAACTGAATAAACACCTAACTACATTGGAAACAAGATTTAAGTGGCTCAGAAAAGTGAGGTCATTTCACACAAAACCTGCTGCCACATACATTCTGGTGCTTCTGCTAGAGATACTTGGCAAAATCCAAAGGAGAATCTGCAATGTTATCAAACATGGAGAAAAAATCCGACAAGACACACAGAAATAAAAAAAAAACTTCTTTTATGACAAATGACAGCATACAAAAAAGAAATCCAACATCTAAATAATGAAATCCCAAAAGAAACAAAACAGGCCATAACTTCAATCTTATAAATGCCACCCTAATTAGAAAAGAACATGATTCTTATGCAGGAAATATTTCAAGGGAATTCTGATAAATATCTTACTGTCTATAAACACACATCAAACACTTTATTATATCACTAACTTTTATAAAATCCATATTTAAAGAATCTAGGCTATGTCAACCTTCTTTTCTTTTTTTTTTTTTTGTTAATCATTTCTCCTGCAAGAAAACTGGGAGTGCTACTAGTACGCAGGGGCTTACAGGGAGTGAAATTGAGAGAAAAGACTGAGTATAGAAAGGATTGAGGAAAGGACAAAGATGAATGGGATTCCAGAAGATATGGATATTGACATTACATTTAAAGTTTTGAAGATTGTAGTTATCAGGGAAGCAAGTAAAGGTGGGAAATGTGAGAAAAAGAACTGTTTCATTTAGCCAGGGGTGGTGTAACTTCAGTTCTTTCACTCTCATGCAAGACATCCCTAAAGCGATATGTGGACAATGACCAACCTGGATAAAAATTCCGCAAAAAAAAAAAAATTAACATTCCAATCCTGCATAGACTAACTATGATTATGATATTCATACACATGCTGCTTGACAAGACAAATGCACGTGAAGTCTATTTAACCAATGAAAAACAACCAACAGAAAAATTAAAAATCCCAGAATTTTCTTTCTTTTTCTCTTCTATATTTCATTCTTTGATGAAGCTTTAACCTTTACCACACTAATTTCTTTGTAGAGTTGTCTCCCCTGCCACTCCATTTTTTTTTTTTAGGATGCAAGAATATGAATACCTACTGTTTTAAAATTGTTATAACTTCCTTTGTATTGTGTGTGTAGATTTTAATTTTTGTTCACTAATAAAAGTATGAATGAATAATATTTTGGATATAATGTATTTTTTCGCATGCATGTTTTGATGTTGCAAACAAAACAAAAATTGAAATGCAAAATAAAAAAAGAAATCCATTAAAAAATACACAAATAATTAACATTCGTTAACTTTTATTTACTCCTTGTGGAGTACTGGTGGGAGTGCAATAAGATGCAAAATCGCTAAGAAGGTTTTCATTTCATCAAAAAAGGGATGTGTTTCCTCGTGTTTACATATGAGAAAACACTAGCATTTGTTTGCTGTTTCTTTCACCTCTTTCATATTTATTTGTCTCATTGACATGTTCTACTTGATGACTCTCAAGTAAAGCCTTCAAAATCATCATCAGAATCCTAATCAAAGAAAAAGAATATGTATACAAAATATATTCCTAAGTTCCACTAGTTAAAACCTTCACAGTTTGGATGTGCCATGCTATATACATGGAGTTGATTCGTCATCATTCTTTCCATATCCCATTGATAAGATGGAAGTTCTACTTCCATCAGTATTTGCCCGAACATCACAGTCTTAACCTCTTCAAGTCAAAGATCAATCCTTATCCATCCATTCTTACACCTCTTTCACTCATATTACACACTTCATTCATCATAACCATTTTCATAGTAATTTTCTACCTTGTATTGGGTGAATTTTAATATTAAAAAAATTTTAATTCTTTCCATTTCCATTTTTACTTCTTTTTTTCCTAGATTGATTTGAATCAACCAATGAATGAGATTCTTAAGCTGTTGGACAAGTATCCAATCAGAACTCGGCTTTCCTTGTCAGGGACTCTGATCGTAGCTCGTGACATTGCCCATGCAAAACTGAAAGAAAGATTAGACAGTGGAGCTGGGCTTCCACAGTATATAAAGGACCATCCTGTTTATTATGCAGGGCCAGCCAAAACCCCTAAAGTAAGAACATTTTTTTGATTTTGAACAATCGAAAACTTCTTTTAAATGATTAATTCATTTTTATGCCTTATCAACCCATTGTAGATTATTTAAAGCCAGAAAATATTTCTAGATTGTATGAATTTTTGGAGGGGGTGAATAATGGCTTAGTGATACAAATCTTGCTAACATGAAGAGAGAGAAAGAGAGGAAAGACACATTACGGAGAGAGAGAGAGAGGAAAAGCAGGATACAAAAAGAGAGAGAGAGAGAAGAAAGACAGAATACGAAGAGAGAAAAGACAGAATACAAAGAGAGAGAGAAAATTCAATATAAAGAGAGAGAGAAAAAGACAGAATACAGAGAGAGAAGAGAGAGAGAGGAAAAGAGAGAGAAGAAAGACAGAATACGAAGAGAGAGAGAGGAAAAGCAGAATACAAAGAGAGAGAGAGAGAAAAGACAGAATACAAAGAGAGAGAGAGAAAAAGACAGAATACAAAGAGAGAGAAAAGCAGAATACAGAGAGAAAGAGAGAGAGAGAAAAGACAGAATACAAAGAGAGAGAGAGGAAAAGCAGAATACAAAGAGAGAGAGAGGAAAAACAGAATACAAAGAGAGAGAGAGGAAAAGCAGAATACAAAGAGAGAGAGAGTGAGAGAGGAAAGACAGAATACAAAGATAAAGAGGGAGGAGAAGAGGTGGATTCATAGCTTTACCAAGACTATTTGCAGGTAAGTGAATATAACAAACCCAACAGGAATTTGAATTCAGCTCTTCGATTAACAATTCCAACTTCATCCATTACAAAACCCACACATCCAAGCTTACAGCATCTGGTATTCCCATGCAGTCACCCATCTAGGTACTGACTTGGCTTGACATTGCTTAACCAGTGATCATATGGGAACCGGTGTGTCAATGTGATGTGGCCGTAAGCCTTCTTTTAATTAAGAGTTAACAACTTTGTAATGATACAATTGTGCCAAAAAGGTTTTCAATGACACTCCCTAAAATCATCTGTATGTTTTTTTATTATACTAGGTGGAATATCTAGAAATGCCTTTTCTGTAATTTTTTTCAGTAGAGAAATGTAGTAGCAGCAAAATTAGTCATCACCTAAAATAATAAAAGCTGTTATTGTTGGTAGCAGATTTAATTGTTACAATAGTAGTCATATTATTTGCGATGTTAAAGCTGATAAAAAAAAAAAATTAACCGGTATTAGTAGTATGCTATATTTTGCAAATATTTGATTTATACAAAAGAGAGCTTATTACTTTACTTTTAGGAAGTGCAATACTACACTCTTTGGACAAACACAGAAATTTCTCAGGCAAAGCCCGTCTGAAAATCTCAAGAAAGTGAAGTAATTCAATTATCAAAATTGGAAAAGTCAAAAAACAAAATCTTAATAAGAAATACAATGTAACAAATATATATATATTTATATATATATATATATATAATATATATATATATATATATAATCTTTTTAAAGGACTCTGGTGAAATAAATTATTATAATGGTACCTTAATGGTGGTCTGTTTTTCTTTTAAATATTAGCTCTGGATTTACATTGAGCTCTCAGGATTTCATCCTCCTTGGGATTACCCATATGGATTACCAAGTTCTTCATAACTTAGCTATATATATATATATAAAAATAATATATAAATAAATATATTATAAATTAACTGATTTAAAATATGGTTTCTTCGCTACACAGTAATAACCATGTTTCAAAAACTGAAGCTAAAAACTTAAAATTTAATTATATAATTAAATTAAAAGCATTAGTTCTGTTTCATCTTCAAGCAAATTTTGGATTAACTTATTTTTAAATTTACATTCTTTTTAAATGCACATATAAATTCATAATTTCTGTTTCCAAGGATACAAAGAAATCCAGTCATTCAGACAGGGGCGGTAGTGTGTTCATTTTTATTAACTACTGTTGTATCAATTATGAGTTACGTTTGAAAAAGAGGTTAAGTTTAGGGAGGGTAGTGGTGTATTTTTCAATGAATTCTTGACAAAAACATTTTTTGGGTTGCATCTGTTACTCCCTGACTCCCCTTATTTAATATTTTTGTAAAACAGGACCCCTAGTTACCAAAAATCTGCCCTGAAGTATAAAATACAATAAATCTAAGATATTATTTAATTAGAAAACTTTTAATTGCTTTTATGGATAATATTAGGACCCTATTGTGTTAAGAAAAAAGTTTTCTGATGAATAATGAATTTTTTACAAGAATTTTCATTTTTTTAAATAATTTATAAAGTTTTAAATCTTTTAAAATTCTGTATTAATTTGTACTGGTTATATTGTTATTAAGCAAAAATTATATTTACTAGTCATAAATGAAAAAGCTTACTACAATTCAGCAACCCCCAATATTTTAAAAAGAATTTTGAATTTTTTTTCTTGTATGTAAATGTGCCGATTTTTGTAAATACAGAAGTCTATATATGACATTATCAGAAAATAATAGTAGTAACTATAGTAAATTTAAAGCCAAAGAACTTAAAAAATTTTCATAAATTTTTAAGATTACTGGTTAAAAATTATATAAAAAAGGCACCCAAGTTATATTTCTCAAGTAATTTTTACAGATATGTACCTCCATAGAAAAAAAATTAAAGTTCCAGTTGTCAATCTGTCAACAGATCTGTCAACACCTAATCAAAGCATCTACCTCTGTTTAAAAAAAAATCCATTTCTCCAATATTTTAAACTAAATGTAAGTAATTATTTGTTTCAAATCAGCTAATATTTCTCAGATAAAGTTTCAGAAAAGTATATTTTATTTTTGCAAAAAATTTTAATAAAGAGAATACATTGTGCTGACAGATTTTTAGCCATCTGTCAGCACAATGTATGTCTAAAATCAGCAATTTAAAAAAACTTCCAATCAATTTAAATTAGTTTTGAATTACAGGAAAGTATTTTGCTTATTGAAAATATTAAATTTAACCTATTAGCTTGAAATTAAAACTGAAATAAAAAACTTTAAGAAAGATATTTTATGTTTTTAAATTCATTTCAAACCTTAGGTATTGCATTTCTTTGGAGGTACCTTTTTATTATATATATATATATATATATATATATATATATATATATATATATAAACAAATAAGAATGGTTTATCAATCTAACATGTTTCACTTTTATTAAAGTTTCGTCAGACACAGATATAGAAAATGTACACACTCTGCATCTGTGTGTATATGTACACACATTGTATTTTAAGATATTTTTATGTTTATACATTCTTTTTATTTTATTGTATTGTTAAAAATGTAGTAGTAATACTTTTTGCTTTGGATTCTTTTTTCCTATAGGGTTATGCAAGTGGATCTTTTGGTCCAACAACAGCTGGCCGAATGGATTCTTATGTCGACCAATTCCAGGAAGCTGGAGGCAGCATGATTATGTTGGCAAAAGGTAACAGAAGCCGACAGGTAAGAATTTTCAGTTCAAAAATTATTTTATTCATTCAAATTCAATGTAAAATAATTTTTTTTAAATGTATTCATTTTTAAATGAATTGGTTTTAAAATGAATGATTTTTAAAAGGAATTGATTTTTAAAACACTGTGCATGATGACCAAGGCAACATCTCAGGAAGTCCATGAAAGCCTAAAGAATGGAAAATTATCAAAAACTTCTCATGTACCTTAAGAATCATGATTCCATTGTTAAAATATTCTCTAACAATAAAATCTTCAAAAGGGTTGACAGTTTTGAATTGCCAATACTGCTACCTCATGGAGTCAATATCTGATGTCAAGAGCAATTCTTGCATTTTAATTGTCCTCATGTGATATCAGAATTTTATCTTTTCCTCTTGGACACAGGTTATGAAATCATGTAAAATGCAGGACAACCCAGAGGAGGTATTGGAAAAAACATACTTACTTTCCTGACATGATGGTAACAACAAAGAAAATAAGACAGTTAAAAAGTAAAGGAGGAAAAAGAAAAACACTGCTCAATGTTTGTTATGATTTGAAAAAAAAATTATTTATTTCATTGCAACCACCTTGTCTATTTGAAACTCAAGTATATATTACTATCTTTATTTTTCAAGGTAAAATATTCTTGCATTTTAATTGTCCTGATGTTGATCTCACAGCATTTTATATTTTCCTCTTATACGCAGGTTACGAAATCATGTAAAAAACATGGCGGATTTTACCTTGGTTCAATTGGAGGACCGGCAGCCATTTTAGCTGAGAACTGCATCAAAAAAGTTGAAGTGAAAGAATACCCTGAACTTGGTAAGAAAAATCAAGAAATAATGGGTTGGAATCAAAGTGTAGTATCTGTTCTCCTCATCTCTAATGGTAATAATAGCCGTTTCTTTATAAGGAAACATTCAGCATTCTTTTACTGAGCAGCCAGTGTTACTCGAGTTACACTTTTCTTTACATCCTGGCCATCAGGCTGTGATCAAAGTGTAGTATATGTTCTCCTCATCTCTAACAGTAATATTAACTGTTTCCTTATAAGGGTATTACTACTTTCATTTAAAATTTTTTAATCTTTCTGTTAAAATGATTTTTACAAAAAATAGGTTTATGTCCACTATTATTATTTTCCAGTATTCATTGAGGCTTCTTTTCTTACATTTTCTTTAATGTGGCATGAAACATCAACATCATGATTATGTTTCTATTTTCTCTTCGAGTTACATGTGCTATCCATTTTAGTTGTTGCTGCTGTTGGAAATCCTCAAGTTGGTGGTTTCTGTTATTTGGTACAGATCTTTATTATTCTGTAACACCAGACTATGCGATTCAGTGATGAATGGTCCTCACTAAGACTTACAGGATTCATTTGCTGGAAGCCATTTTTAATGAAGTTTCAGAATATGACTCAAGTTGGGTTAATACCTTGACTTTGTAGTTATTTGAAAGTCTTCAGCTGTTAATGCTGTTTTAGAATATGACCCAAGTTAGGTTAATGTCTTGGCAAAAAATATCACTAGCACAGTCTATTCAATGTTCAATTTCCATATCTCCCATAACTGGTCTGTACATCATGGTATTCGACATGTTTAGTATTTCCTAATTCCACATTCTGAATTTTTATGATTGATCAGGTTATGTGTCATCATTGCTTTCATTCCAATTCCAGATCATTGTTTCTGTTTTGGAAGGGTTTATCTTGAGTTTTTTTTTTCTTGGAACAGTGAAATTCATAGAGTAGACTTGACTCTCTGGCCTTGTTAGAGCAACCAGTCCAGAAGAAATCTGGATTTGAAAACCTCTACCTTTCCCAAGAAAAGTCATGGAGATCCAGATATTAAAGAAGTTTTTTTTAATGATGTTGTATTGAAACCGCAAGAAGTTGCCTTCCAAAGTCTTGATAATAGTTTATATATTCAAAATTGACTGCAGCATTTTTTAAATCTCTTCCATGATTCAAGCAATCATGACTCTCTACAACTTCCAATTTAACGATTTTGTTGTATAACATCCGCCAATCTTAGATTTCAAATGTGATTTCTTTTATATGTTATGTCCTTTCAGGAGGTCACCGTTCACAGCTCTCCACAACATTCTATTCTTTGTGGCTCTAAGCAGTGTTTGTCACCTTACTATCCTTCCCATTCTTTGTTTTACCATCCAATTACACAAACATGTTATGTAAGTTGATCATGGCTCTCCACAACTTCCTATCCTTTGTAACTTTAAAAAATGTTTGTCCACTTACCGTACCTTCTACTCCCTATTCTGCCATTCACTTACATATGCTCTTTGGTTAGCCTTGTTATTAGCTTCTTTCCTCTGTCCTTCTTGCCTTCAGTATGTCCTGGAAGTGTTAAATTCTCCCAGCACTCCTTCCTCAGTATGCATGTCAGAAATTTCATCTGTTTCTTTCTGCATTTCCACTGAAAAAAAGTTTTATAAAGATTCCAACACATCATAAACAGGATTGTCTTAAAAATTTGTTTTAAAAACAGTATTTTATTTTTCAGGAAAATTTTTTATGCATTGAAATCTTTAAACATTTTTATTTTTCAAGCAATCATTTTCTCGGTTTTATCTTTCTAGAAATGTAAAAAATAGGGACTAGAAATTTTATTTTAATTACTAGCTATGGATTTTGAGTTAATATTATTATTAGTAAAAAAAAAAAATCAATGATCCTCCTTAGTGGATGATCTCAGAATAAAAAATGGTTTTACTGAGATATATTCCCCCTTCTTAATTGATTTAAAAGAACTGTTCAGAAAGAAAATTACAATTTGAAAAAAATAAGAGTTACTGAAATTAGAACTTTTGCCCCCCTCCCCCTCCTCAGTAGACATTGGGTCCCACATGGTTGTGAGGTTCAGGGTAGTAAGCACTGGCCCAGTCAATTATTATAATAGATGATTGACCATATAACTTAGGTTGAAAAAAGTACCAAAAGCAAAAAAAAAACACTGCTGAAACTATCCCTTTTGGAGCTCCAAACTTGTTGGGGCTTCCTCCATAGTATACACCACACCAGCCATACATATACACAATGTATATTATTAGTTGATTACTGACAATGTAACGTCATTTTAAAATTAATTAAAAAAAAATGGTGGATGGCCATAAAACAGTGCTGAAAAAATGAGCCTGGAGATCCCGAGACAGACAGAATACAACAATTATGCCTTGCATTTTCAATTTAGTTTATGATAAACTGAAAACATAACACATAAATGTTGTTTGTTAATGAGTCATTTAGACTCTTAACCAAAAAATTGACAAAAAATATAATTTTCTTGCATCTACAGAATTGTTTTTATTTATTTTGTAAAAGTACAAAATTGTGGCACAAGGCCGAAAAGGGGGAGGAGTAATAACTGGTCTTCACTAACTATCTTATACCTAGCTAATCTGATTCACGACCCATTCATACATTACAATTTACCCATTCACCATAAGAACTCATCCGTCACCAATCAATCCTCCATGCACCATAATACCACATCCACTCTAGGGAGGCCTACAAAACGCACCCCATGTCATAAAAATTTAATGATACTAAAAGATATATACAAAATTCTATGATGAAAAAATGAGAGGGGAGGGTGATGAACCTAATAACGAACTAAAATATTAACACAAATCAAATTAAAAATAACTGATGTTAGTAGGACCCGTCCAACCCTCAAAACAGAGAGGCCACTGTATTCTGCCCATTGGACAAAATTGTTACAAGGAAATTAGTTCTTACACGTCAATACTAATATCTTTCACACTTACAGATAAATAATACAATTATCTAAATTTAAGTCTGTCAACCTTCATTTTTCATGTCACTTCAGGACATTGACGATCATAGCTCTCCACAATTTCCTGTTCTTTGTAGCTCCTAATAAATTTTATCTTTTTGTTGTTATCTCTCCTAAACCCTGTTCTGCCATCCATTTACACAAGTTTCTTCTTCTATGTGCCATGTCCCTTCAGTACTGGTGATTATGGCTCTCCACAGTTTCCTGTCCTTTGTAGCTTCTCATAAATTTTGTCTTTTTTGTTATCTTTCCTAAACCTTGTCTGCTATCCATTTAAGTCTGTCATAGCTGTGGAGCCAACTTCTAACAGGATGTTTTTCCAATCACTACAATCTTAACCCATTCAAGTCTAGAGTTAACTGTTATCTTGCCTATATATCCACATAAACTTTGTCTCCATGATGCAATTCACTCTGCCAGAAGTTTGGAAATGGCATGCTGTATATTGCTTGGATTTTGTGCCAGAAGCTTCAATTCGAACATTTCAGAGTGTTTGGGTGTTAATCTGAGGACAGTGAAGAGGATTCAGAAAGAGTTGGATGAGTCTAATGGTGATTATGAAGGTGTTTGGAGTGATCACTAGTGATGGTGACATTACGCCTCCATTCATCTTTCCACAGGGTCTCAGACCACATGGAGGCCTACATCAAGTGCCTTGAGAAGGTAGTGCTGCCCTAGGTCAATGATGTGGCTGCTGAAAGATCCTATGTCTGGCAACAGGATCCTGCACCATGCCATACAAGCAGGAGAACCCGGTCATGACTGCCAGACCATTTCTGCAAACATATCTCTCCTTACATCTCCCCAGATCGCAACCCCCTTGATTATTATCTGTGTGATGCAGTTGAGCGAGAGACCAACAAAACTGAAGGCAAGGGTTGTGGCAACATTCACCAACTTAAACAAGGAGACTGTCCCCAAGAGGTTGGAGCCACTGGTGATTTTATTGAATAAATTTAGTCTTTAGTCTTTCAAGATTTTTTGTGTAATTTTGGTAGATATATCTGTTAAAATGAGATGTGAGTGTTATTTTCATTTTTGCATCATTTAGACAACAATTTATCCATTGCACCCTGTATATGACATATTAAATGTTGTTTGTACTCTGAGTTTCATAAAAGGGGTGAACACAGGTGCAGCAGTAAAAATCATTCAGCACTCTTATGGCAATGATGCATAGGTGGTAATATGTTAAAATCATTGTGAACATCACTGTAAAAAAAAATGCATATAAACCCACTGAAAGCAGAATAATGATGCTATGATTTTATATGAATAAATGAGTTTCTTTCAAAAATGCTGGGAATTTTTGCATCAAGTTTCTATCTGATTGTCATTATAAATTTTTAGCAATTTCTCTGCTCTTGCTACTATAACATCCATTAATTGCAATTTGTATTTTTATATTAAATTCATATCATCTTTTCTTTTCAGGCATGGAGGCAATATGGCAGGTATCTGTTGAGAACTTTCCAGCTTTTATTGTTGTCGATAACAAAGGCAATGATTTTTTCAAAGAATGGCAGGTTGAATAATTATAATTGAAAATAGTTCTTTTTTTTTCGTTTTTTTTTTTTTTTGTAGTATTTTAATGAGAGTTTGTTAATCAGGTATCCACCTGCAGAAATCCCTCCTTTATCCTCTGAAATTTTTTTGCCCTTCCTTATATTGCAATGTGTCTTTGGGAATTTCAGATTCTGTCACTAGTTTTTCTAAGGCCAGAGGACACCTCTTTCTAATGACACCTCATATAGTCACTTTAATCTGATTAATTTAATTTTTTATAGATTATCAACTCTTTCAGGTTATTTGAAGCCAGAAATTTTTTTCTTTTAGAGTGTAAGAATTTTTTCTTTTTGGATATAATAGTTGTTTAGTGATACAACTCTTACTAATTAACCCATAGCTGGGAGGAGAAGAGATAGATTTATTTCTTTCCTGAAAGTATTTGTGCCTAAGTGAATATAACGAACCCGACTGGAATTGGAAATTGGCTCCAATATATAATGACAACAGAGATGAAGATAATGGTCCAAATATAAATAGTGTAAATTATTTTTATTCACTTAACAATACATACGGAAGTTATGAAATTAATTTTGTATTTTTTTGTAAAATCGCAATTCACTAATTCAGATGATGAATGTCTTTTTTAATAACCTGCTGGAATCTGTTATCCGTTTTTTGTTAAAAAAGGCAACGTATTTACACTGTTACCAGATAACAATGTGAGCACATTGTGGGGAGACTACAAACAAAATGATTTTGCAAACTCTATATAAACTTGCAGAAATATTGTAACATCATTTTGTTAACTGAGTTCATAATATGACACTCTGATACAAGCCTGTATATTCTCTCTTGTTAGTTATATTTTCTTTTTAATTGGTATTACCCCAAGCAAGGTAGTATAGCTACTACTACGCGAGGGGTTACATTTTGTGGACGAATTAGGAACAGAGACATTAATAATAAGCGGCGAGAGAAAAGAGTAATCAGGAGGACAGTAGATGACAACTGACATTGTATTTAAATTTTTGCATATTAAAATTGGCTGGCGCTGGAAGGGAGTTCCACAAGCAAGAAAAAAAACTCTTAGCATAAAAGTTACAGCTACATCTAGCTAGCTCAACTAAATTCATTAGATCTTAACACCAGTCTTGTGTTGTGCTTAAATTCATACATTCCAGGCACTGTAGCAAAGATCTCACCCAAACAATTATTATAAAAGTATTTATCAAAAAGACATAGCGAGGCAACCTTATGGCAGTAGGAACATGACTGAAGCTGAGCTGCCAGATCAGGACCAGTAATATTGCTGATTCTTCTTTGGGTTTTATCAAGGAGCTCAAGGTAAATAGCAGTGGCACTAGACCATCTGTGGCAGCAATATTCTAAGCATGGATGAATGATAGACTTATAGATATACATGATAGATTCCAAAGAGAAGAATTTTCTCGCACGACACAGTGTCTGTTAACAGACTGTATCGAATCAGATATATCCCCGAAGATACAGAGCAAAAAGAAATTCACAATAATTATTTTTTCAAATTTCAGATTTCTTTTTTTCTTAACCCCTTTCCCAGCATAGACATATATATATATATATATATATATATATGTTTTTACCAAAAGTGTATCTTTTTTCAGACATGAACAAATAAACACGTCCAAAGCATAACATTCAAAACTCAGCTACAGACGTGTTCGTACGTCAATCTTGATTCTTTTTATACCCTTCTGAGTTTGAAACAAATCCAATTGTCAACTCATACGTCTGGTAGAGGTGTTAGTCATCACTTGGATACTTCAAGGTACCTCAGTTTCTTAGTTACTATATTAAAAACAAATAAAAAAATTTGTCTGAAAATGAAATGGCTTTCCCAAAATAATTAGCCGAGAAGGGGTTAAGTAGTAATTTTTCTTTTTTATTCATAGTACTTTTATGAAAATGCTTTTTTCCTTCATAAAGGACAGGAAGTTGTGGAGTGCCATGATTGTCAACGTCCTGAAGGAACACAGCATATAAAAGAACCCAAAAGCTAAACTTTCTTGTATATGTTATGGATTTTGGGGCCTACTTAGTTTTGTCCAATTTTGAAAGGTTGGAATGAAAGCTCTGTCCAAGTTTATTGTTATAGTGGAACACACCTATTCTATAGTTAATAGACTCTCCCACCTATAATAAGTAGGAGTAGTAAGAGTAACGAGGGGATCAGTCAGTCAGTCGATGTCGGACAACAGTTAGTCGAATACTAAAGTATCAGCGATCACAACTAGATTACTCTGTGTTATACCTATTATATCAAGTTCCTAACGTTTTGTACGTCAAACCTATTTTAGGACCAACTTAGTACAAATACAAGCCTCCACTGTGAAATCACTCCACAATAATTGTGCATATTACAAATGAAGATACCAATGCTCATAGAAATATTTAATCATCAATACAACCTCCATTGCTTCCAAGGACATCATTCCAACTGTCAACAACTTTATAGATGTAACATTTGTAAAATTATTTAAGTTTTGAAGTAAAATATGAAACTAACTCATGTTTAACCTTTTCTCTTGATATCAACCCTGTCAATCAAATGGTTCTGCAATTCCCTAAATAATTGATAATCAGAAAGAGTAAGGTTGGGAGAGCATGGAAGACAAAGTAATTTTCCCTAACCGAGCACTTCTAAGAGATCTTTAATCAATCATGCAGTGTAAAGACAGGCCTGACTGAGGATGGACATTTTTTATCCAAAGCTGCTTTCAAATGGCAACATTGTTGACAGTAGAGATCAGTGTTGATCATTTTATTTTTATCTGACAGTTCATCAGATGATTCCTTTAATAATGAATTTCTTTGGATGAAGTCCTTCTCTCAAGTGCTGAGCATATCTTTTTCCACCACTGATGCACTAACAATGATGCTTAGAATTATGGTAAAGGATGTATTTCTCATTACCAGTAACAAGCCGATCCGAAAAGGTCACTTGAAGTTGTTGTGTAAGCAATGACTTACAAGAATTAACACATTGTCAGCAATTCTCTGGAGATAGGGCTTGCAGGTTATATTTTCTAACCATTGAAACTTTTAAGCTTTGTTGTCAAGTCACTTCATGTTCAATCTCTTCTCTTGATGTCAACCTTAGCTCATCCAAATATTTCTGCAAACTCCTAAACAAGTGATAATCAGAAGAGGCAATGTTGGGAGAGTATTGAGGATAAAGCAATTTTTCCCAGCTGAGTTCTTCTAATCTTTAATCACTTGTGCAGTGCAAAGACAGGCCTGATGGAGGATTATTCCCTTTCTGTTGACTGAGGATGGACATTTCCTATCCAAAACTGCTTTCAAATGACAACATTGTTGACAGTAGAAATCAGCAATGATGATTGATTATTTTCTTCTTTCTACTGATGCACTGACAATGATGCTTAGAATTATGATAAAGGATGTATTTTTCAACAGTAACAAGCCAGTCCAAAATGTTGTTGTGTAAGCAATGACTTGCAAGAATTGACATATTGTCAGCAATTCTCTGGAGATAGGTCTTGCAGGACACATTTTCTAACCATTGAAACCTTTAAGCTTTGTTGTCAAGTCACCTCATGTTCAAACTCTTCTCTTGATGTCAACCTGATGCCATCCAAATATTTCTGCAAACTCCTAAACAAGTGATAATCAGAAGGAGCAATGTTAGGAGAGTATTGAGGATGAAGCAATTTTTCCCAGCTGAGCTCCTCAAAGAGTTCTTTAATCAATTGTGCAGTGCAAGAACAGACATGATATAGGATTACTCCCTTTCTGTTGACTAAAGCTATCCAAAGCTGCTTTCAAACAACAAAGCTGTTGACCTTAGAGATCAGCAATGATTGATTATTATCTAAGTTCGTAATGGATGATTCCTTGAATATCCCACCATACACTCAGCATGATCTCCTTTTGACTGCTGAACAGGTTTCTTTCATTGACTGATCCACTGACGACGACAGTTAACATTGCAGTAAAGGATCCATTTCTCATCACAATTAACAAGCCTGTCCCAAAATGGCACTTGAAGTTGACATTTTGTTAATGACTTGCAACAATCAACACAGCAATTCACTAGAGACAGGTGGTGCAGAGCCTATTTTCCAACCACTGAAATCTTTTCAATTTTCATGGGACTGTCATATGACTAACATTACATTTCCCAATGAATTCTCTAGCCATAGTGTCAGAATCACTGCTCTGTGGAACTGACTCCCAAGAGGATGTTTTCCCAACCACTACAATCTTAACCTGTTCAAGTCTAGGATTAACCATTATCTTCACCACATATCAGCATAAACTGTGCCTCTTAATTCTGTAACCCTCTTCCTCGAGCGGCTCTCGGGCATAGTACAGTATTTTTAAGTGTTAAAAAAAGCAGCAACTTCCAAATCCTCTGAATTGAGTCATTATGAACAACTCTCCTTTAGTTTGTCTTCCAGACTAAAATTTCCAGTTTTGAAATGGAAAAACCACCTCTTCTTTCACTCAATGTATCGACCCTATAATGCACTGGATGCATTTTGCAGCTGCACTTAGGGTACAACATTTCTAATGTATTCTTTAGTTTGGACTAACAAGGCCCGAGAGCCACTCGAGGTAAAGGGATATAGATTGAAAGACTCAAGTTATGTACATATGCGGGGAAGATGACGGTTAACATGAGACTTGAACTGATTAAGATTGTAATGATCAGGAAAACATCCTGTTGGGAGTAGCTTCCAGAAAGGAAGAAGGAAGATGCAGCTCGCGTGGAACTTACATCTCACCAAGGGAATGAGTGTAGTTCACTACAATATTCATGGCATGGCGTGTGTTATTCATGAAGGTTAGAACTGGTGGAATTAAGGAATGTAGCTCATCTGAGCACTTTCCATGGAAATAGTGATAGAACAAAATGAGGCTTGCAATATGTTTTTAAGATGATAAAAAACGTTATAAATTACTCATAGTTGCATTACTAAGCAACAGGAAGAGGCAATATGTTAATAAATTCTGTTCAACATTT